AATGAGATGAAATATGTTTCGCACTAAGTTAAAATGAGCTTGTATATAGTTTTTGAGCCAATGAGAATTTAGCCAGCTCAAGCATCATTAGAATCCGGGTGGAACTAAGCAGCAAAAACGTATTTTAAACTGAAAGTAAATTGTGTGTCATCAATCAACCATTAAACCCAAAATAGTGCTCTCATTGTTCCTGGGCTTGGGGGTCTAGATATTTTTACTACTAACTTTGATGGCTTATTGTAACTCAGGATAGTGTTTCTCCAGAGAGTGTGTTCAGGTGCAAATATAGTGAGAAACTAAAGGTCAAATGAAAACCGTACACCTTTTATTTATTCTTTCTCAATTACTATATATAAAAAAAGAATTTTGTCACAGCAGATGTTTTTGATTACACAGTATAATTACAATTATATTTTACTGAAATTATGCAATCATTGATATTCCAGTGTATATAGGACATCAAAGATTTCTGTCAACTTTGAACATTACCTCACATGCCCCTTAAAATTTAATCTTTAAAGAGTGATGCAGATCAGTTTTCATGGTCAGAGTCAGTCATTAGCAAAAGAGTTTGAGGCTCTTCTTCATCTCTGTTCTTTTAATGCTGTATCTCTCTGTTACACTGAGATATTGTATCTAAACAGAGCAGTGTCCCAAACACTCCCAACACTGGAATGAGTTTATAGGTTTCAGTATCAATGTGTTATGAAAACATGGCATATATTTGTTGTAGGGGCAAATGAGGACATAGACAGACAGACACACATGAGATTGAGAAGCAATACTCAAACCTGAATGTCAGACAAGCTAACTAATTGAAAACTGTATTCTGAAACAGAACACTTTTTGGGATGACAGTCAATGTAACATGGAGTTAATGCAGAAACATACAGTAAGAGGCCACCTAATCGACTCAGTGAGATGTCCTAACCCTGTTTAGAATGACCCTGTATTATTTATGACTAGACTTGTAAATGGGAAGTCAGCGTGATCTTTGACAGGTTTATGTAGATTATGTAGTTCCCCACCTCTGAAATGTGACAGGTCCTTCTTAGGCAAACAGTATATCAGATGTATTGGGATAAAGGAAAAATACTGATCTCAGTGTCTCTGTGGCAATAAACCCTTTTAAGACAAGCCAGTCTAGATACTGTAAGCATATTGTGGTAAGACTAAATGCAGGAAGGTCTTGCAGCAACCTGCTGCTGTAAGTTTAGTTCTTACAATGGCCTTGACTCAAATCAATAACATGGGAGGAGGATCACTTTGATGTGAAACAGGAGAAACAATGTATTCTTCCTATAGTATTCTCAGAGGGCATACTGTGGTTTGGGAGGATGACACAATAGAGCTATCTCAGGCTAAGGTCTATGGAGCTTTATTTGGCATACTGTATATGACCCATTGAATGAGGTGCATCATGTTGGATCTAGCTCCATTTGATATGAAATAGTTTTATAGCATCACATTGAAATACACAGCAATAAAATAATACAGCATATTAATGCAATTGATAGTACTGTGCACACACATACAGAGGAGGGTGGAGTCATACAGTGTTGAGGTAAGTCCTACACCATTTCCTGTAAGAGCGTCAGTATGCAGCCATCTTTTGTCTGCAGTTGAAGTCGGAAGTTTACATACACCTTAGCCAAATACATTTAAACTCAGTTTTTCACAATTCCTGACATTTAGTCCTAGTAAAAAGTCCCTGTCTTAGGTCAGTTAGGATCACCACTTTATTTTAAGAATGTGAAATGTCAGAATAATAGTAGAGAGAATGATTTATTTCAGTTTTTATTTCTTTCATCACATTCCCAGTGGGTCAGAAGTTTACATGCACTCAATAAGTATTTGGTAGCATTGCCTTTAAATTGTTTAACTTGGGTCAAACGTTTCGGGTAGCCTTCCACAAGCTTCCCACAATAAGTTGGGTGAATTTTGGCCCATTCCTCCTGACAGAGCTGGTGTAACTGAGTCAGGTTTGTAGGCCTCCTTGCTCGCACACGCTTTTTCAGTTCTGCCCACACATTTTCTATAGGATTGAGGTCAGGGCTTTGTGATGGCCACTCCAATACCTTGACTTTGTTGTCCTTAAGCCATTTTGCCACAACTTTGGAAGTATGCTTGGGGTCATTGTCCATTTGGAAGACCCATTTGCGACCAAGCTTTAACTTCCTGGCTGATGTCTTGAGATGTTGCTTCAATATATCCACATAATTTTCTTTCATGATGCCATCTATTTTGTGAAGTGCACCAGTCCCTCCTGTAGCAAAGTAACCCCACAGCATGATGCTGCCACCCCCATGCTTCAGGGTTGGGATGGTGTTCTTCGGCTTGCAAGCATCCCCCTTTTTCCTCCAAACATAACGATGGTCATTATGGCCAAACAGTTCTATTTTTGTTTCATCAGACCAGAGGACATTTCTCCAAAAAGTACAATCTTTGTCCCCATGTGCAGTTGCAAACCGTAGTCTGGCTTTTTTATGGCGGTTTTGGAACAGTGGCTTCTTCCTTGCTGAGCGGCCTTTCAGGTTATGTCGATATAGGACTTGTTTTACTGTGGATATAGATACTTTTGTATCCGTTTCCTCCAGCATCTTCACAAGGTCCTTTGCTGTTGTTCTGGGATTTATTTGCACTTTTCGCACCAAAGTGCGTTTATCTCTAGGAGACAGAACGCGTCTCCTTCCAGAGCGGTAAGGAGGCTGGGTGGTCCCATGGAGTTTATACTTGCGTACTATTGTTCGTACAGATGAACGTGGTACCTTCAGGCGTTTGGAAATTGCTCCCAAGGATGAACCAGATTTGTGGAGGTCTACAATTTATGTTCTGAGGTCTTGGCTGATTTATTTAAATTTTCCCATGATGTCAAGCAAAGAGGCACTGAGTTTGAAGGTAGGCCTTGAAATACATCCACGGGGGGGGGGGGGGGGGGGGGGGGGCTCTCTTGAGCTATGTCTAGTTCCGCTTGTTGTCCTCAGATGACCTAAATCTTTGTTTCAAAGAAATCAGGTGATCTTGACCATTCTGGTGAGCGTTGTAGTGTTGGAGCGCCATCTTGTGTTGAATAGGGGGGGTGGGAGGAGGAGAGCTCTCTTGAGCTATGTCTTGTTCCGCTTGTTGTCTTCAGATGACCTAAATCCTTGTTTCAAAGAAATCAGGTGATTTTGACCATTCTGGTGAGCGTTGTAGTGTTGGAGCGCCATCTTGTGTTGAATAGGGGGGTGGGAGGAGGAGAGCTCTCTTGAGGTATGTCTTGTTCCGCTTGTTGTCCTCAGATGACCTAAATCCTTGTTTCAAAGAAATCAGGTGATTTTGACCATTCTGGTGAACGTTGTAGTGTTGGAGCGCCATCTTGTGTTGAATGTGCATTCTGCAATGTGTGCACGAGCTCTCTGAGTTTGTGCATTTGTCCCTCATAAAATCAGTGTATTGACTTAGTTTATTTCTTTCTTCACAACCTCTTCCAGGTCCTAATAGGCCTACTTTTAATAATATGGTTATTATGTGCTAAAAGAGCCAACCTCAGGCATTTCAACGCTGGCGCGCACAGCAAAAGGCAGCCAGGGAGACATGCATTTAACCAAATCCCGTACGTTAATCTTGAAATATAACTGCAACTTTATTCTAAACATTTGGACTTTATTCACGAAATTAAATTTCGAGTTTATTGTCGAAATATTGCCACTTTATTCTCGAAACATTGCCACTTTATTCTCGAAATGTAATTTCGACTTTATTCTCGAAGTTTAAATATTGGCACTTTATTCTCGAAATATTGCACGTTTTTTTAAGTACTATATTGCAAAAAATAATAATCCACCACTGCTTATTTTTTTCTCTTCACTTGGTCCCAATACTCTTCCGTAGTTTCTAAATCTACATTCTGGACTGTCTTTGGTTTTACTGTATACCATTGTGCTCTGCCTCGTCTGGCTATGCGCATGTCAGTGTCTGTCTGCAAAATGAAAGTGAAAGTAGGGTTTGCTGTGGGGAATTACAGGGAACATATTGCTCCATATTTTTTCTCATCGATCAGACTACAGAATAGTCGAGGACACTGTCGAAAACTAACATGGCCAATATATCAACAATATATAAGCTATCCTTTCTCGCCTTTACTTACTTCATGCACGGTAAATTCGTCAGCCTTTCTTACTGCACATTTGATTTAGTGGTGGATTTGACGAAAGTTGTAGCACTGTTACTGTATACTCAATTTTACATTTACGTCATTTAGCAGACGCTCTTATCCAGAGCGACTTACAAATTGATTAACCTTAGTTTGTAGTTAATTACAATGCATATAGTTGCGCAGTTAAAAATAACTTTGTTGAGTTAAAGGGCAATCAGCAGTAGCTACATCCATTTTTGAATTTAATTATATGTACCCATTGATTCTTGAAGAATATAACTTATAAATGGACCATGAGCTTAGTTCAACTGTCGTATCCCATCAGAACACAAAATATAAGCTTGTTTTAATCCAGTGTTTGTAAACAAAATAAATGTAAACAAACACTGTATAGCCCCGCCCAAAAAAACTATCATTTTGATATCATGGATGGTCAGGCCTTGCATCCATAGCTCTGTCTTTGAATTTGACAGTGGTCGCATTTCTCCAGCCCCATTCCCCCTGCTTTTTACCGAAACGGGTGGGGATATCGCTTTGTTATTGGTTTAACTGCTGATTTAAGAATATATACTTTTCATAATATATACCTTGTAGAAAATGTACACGTGGAAAACAGCCCTACATAACGCTGGCATATTCATTTACATGAATTTGTATCGAGATTTAGAGTTTTTTTCAAGGTCTTAATGCTAAGCATGTATCATTAGTCAATAACTCGTTTCTATTATGATTGCCTTTTCATATCCATCCATATTCTACAGTAGTCTACATATTTTCACCCATAGAAATACAGTGTTGTTCTATTTAATTCTGTTTTTTCACATACCCACATTGGTCGGCCTCACACATTCACACAACTCTCTCATCCAGTCTATGGAACAAGTTGTCCAGTTCTGGAGTGCTGGTTTGTCCAGGAGAAACCAGGTAGAGGTGGGGGCTTCCATGCTGCTATGAGCCAGGAGAAGACACTACTTTACATCAATACAGACCCAGACAGTGAAGAAACCAGGTCAAAGCAGGGACCATCTACAGACCATGATAGAGTCTACTACGTCACTGGTCAGTACTTATCATTATACACTGCTCAAAAAAATAAAGGGAACACTTAAACAACACAATGTAACTCCAAGTCAATCACACTTCTGTGAAATCAAACTGTCCACTTAGGAAGCAACACTGATTGACAATACATTTCACATGCTGTTGTGCAAATGGAATAGACAACAGGTGGAAATTATAGGCAATTAGCAAGACACCCCCAATAAAGGACTGGTTTTGCAGGTGGTGACCACAGACCACTTCTCAGTTCCTATGCTTCCTGGCTGATGTTTTGGTCACTTTTGAATGCTGGCGGTGCTTTCACTCTAGTGGTAGCATGAGACAGAGTCTACAACCCACACAAGTGGCTCAGGTAGTGCAGCACATCCAGGATGGCACATCAATGCGAGCTGTGGCAAGAAGGTTAGCTGTGTCTGTCAGCGTAGTGTCCAGAGCATGGAGGCGCTACCAGGAGACAGGCCAGTACATCAGGAGATGTGGAGGAGGCCGTAGGAGGGCAACAACCCAGCAGCAGGACTGCTACCTCCGCCTTTGTGCAAGGAGGAGCAGGAGGAGCACTGCCAGAGCCCTGCAAAATGACCTCCAGCAGGCCACAAATGTGCATGTGTCTGCTCAAACCGTCAGAAACAAACTCCATGAGGGTGGTATGAGGGCTCGACGTCCACAGGTGGGGGTTGTGCTTACAGCCCAACACCGTGCAGGACGTTTGGCATTTGCCAGAGAACACCAAGATTGGCAAATTCGCCACTGGCGCCCTGTGCTCTTCACAGATGAAAGCAGGTTCACACTGAGCACGTGACAGACGTGACAGAGTCTGGAGACGCCGTGGAGAACGTTCTGCTGCCTGCAACATCCTCCAGCATGACCGGTTTGGCGTGGGTCAGTCATGGTGTGGGGTGGCATTTCTATGGGGGGGGCCGCACAACCCTCCATGTGCTCGCCAGAGGTAGCCTGACTGCCATTAGGTACCGAGATGAGATCCTCAGACCCCTTGTGAGACCATATGCTGGTGCGGTTGGCCCTGGGTTCCTCCTAATGCAAGACAATGCTAGACCTCATGTGGCTGGAGTGTGTCAGCAGTTCCTGCAAGAGGAAGGCATTGATGCTATGGACTGGCCCGCCCGTTCCCCAGACCTGAATCCAATTGAGCACATCTGGGACATCATGTCTCGCTCCATCCACCAACGCCACGTTGCACCACAGACTGTCCAGGAGTTGGCTGATGCTTTAGTCCAGGTCTGGGAGGAGATCCCTCAGGAGACCATCCGCCACCTCATCAGGAGCATGCCCAGGCGTTGTAGGGATGTCATACAGGCACGTGGAGGCCACACACACTACTGAGCTTCATTTTGACTTGTTTTAAGGTCATTACATCAAAGTTGGATCAGCCTGTAGTGTGGTTTTCCACTTAAATTTTGAGGGTGACTCCAAATCCAGACCTCCATGGGTTGATAAATTTGATTTCCATTGATAATTTTTGTGTGATTTTGTTGTCAGCACATTCAACTATGTAAAGAAAAAAGTATTTAATAAGATTATTTCATTCATTCAGATCTAGGATGTGTTATTTTAGTGTTCCCTTTATTTTTTTGAGCAGTGTATATTAAATAGGACAATCTCTTTATGACTGATTTGAGTGACAAACCAGTGGCTGTTAAAGGTGCAGTCAGTCAATTTGGTGTGACACCAAGCCTCTAATTTCAATTATATAAGGCTACAAGAGTGTTGCCATTTTAGACAGAGCTTTTCAGAAAAATACATGTTATTTCATTGAAAGGATAACTTCTATAGACAAATCTCCCCCTCTCTCCTCAGACCCAGCAGCCACCCTCTGCAGTTCTTCTCTGCACCCACCAGAGGGCTCAGTCCAGAAGCCACAGTGCGAGATCAACCCCTTCATGCCCCAGCCATCCACCGTCCAATGGACAGTCCCACTCACGGACTCTGCCCACAGTCCTATCTACCTGCAAGCCGACTGGTACTCTGCTGCCTTGCAGGGCCTTGACGGACAACTGGGCCTCTCCAATGTCATGCGTGCTCCCACAGCAACCAAGGAACCCAATGGTATGACTGAAAAGGAATGAAATTCTTCTTGAGCAAGGGTTGTAAACATCAGACAGATTGTCATATTTAACCATTATAAGTGATAAAAATGGACTTCTAATCAAAATGACATAGTGTTACCAACACCACAGTGATAATGACTTATTATTAACCATAATTTAAATCAATTTGTCATACACCATGAAGAAGTATAGCAACCAGTGATGTTTATTACCACGTAATGTCACAGGTAAAGTAGTATTAAAGTGTAACGTCTCTCTCCTACCCCTCTCTCTCTCTCCCAGTGGTGCTCAGTGTGTCCAGTAGAACCTCCATGATCCGTTCCAGACTCGGGGAACCAGTGGTTCTAGACTGTGGGTTCTGGGTGGAGGCCTCTTCTCCTCTCTCTGGCTCTGGCTTCGCCGTGGAGTGGCGCTACCAGTTCAGGGGCGATGGACGTCTGGTCCTGGCCTACGACGGCAAGAGTGACCGATTTGCCGAGACCCAGGAAGAGGGAGTGGGGCTAGACTTCACGGCTCTGCACGAGACAGGAAATGCATCTCTGATCCTGCAGGAAGCTCAAGTGCGCCACTCAGGAACCTACATCTGCACGGTGTACTTGCCCTATCTCCTGGCTCAGGTGTTAGTGGAGCTGGAGATTGTAGGTGAGGAGAGATGAATATGCTTGATTAGTCTGCCAATACTAAAGCATTGCAATGTTTGTTTTAGATCTGTTTGGTAGAATCTCAGCCCCTATGTATTTACATGTTTATTCACTGAAACAACTAGTGTAACACCATATACAGTACATTCTTATAATGGTATATCATGGTCAACTAAATGGCATTAGATTATATGCCATAAGTGTGTATTATCCTATCTTATCTAATTCTCTCCCTCCTCTTTCTCCCTCTATCTCTCCCAGAGCCTCCGTCCCTCTCCATCTTCCCCTCCCCGCTCCCTCTCTCCGTGCCCGGACAGGTGGTGACGGTGCAGTGCGAGGCATCAGGATTCTCCCCCCTCTCCATGGAGTTCCACTGGGAGTTAACAGGGCCAGATGGTAGGGTCAGGCCCCTGGGTCAGGGAAGCGTGACGGGCCACAGACAGGGCCCAGACAGCACTTACAGCCAGACCAGCCGTCTGGAGTTGGACTCAGCCAAGCTGGACCTGGGCCGCGGCGGGGAGGTCACCTGTGTGGCGGTCCACCCTGGAGGCACCCGGCGGGCCAGCGTCACCCTCAATGTCACCGGTGAGAGAATTTAATAGAGCTGCATTGAGTTGATGGATGTTGCCCCTATCCACTGATTCAGAGCCAGATATTTCTATCCCTGTGAAGGTAAACGTTAGGATTAGGGTAAGGTAATCTGATCCTAGATCTGTGGTTAAGGGCAGTGTCTCTAAGCCTACTAGTATCATTTCTGGTATGCAATTACAGTGATCTGAAAAGTCAAATAATTTAGACTTGATACAACACAACTGACCCTGAGTATGTTTTAAATTGACTCCCTATCTCTTCACCCCAATCAGGTGTCAGTGCTCCCTCCATTGAGGACTCTATGGCGATGGTTGCCGTGGCCCTGGGGATTTATGGTTTGATCAAGGTCCTCTCCTGGACATTTAGCTCTGGTAACTACAATCAGTTTGAACTAAGATACACAAAAACTGCACTAATGTAATGTAAGATTTTGAAGCCGTAAAGCTACTGTGTCCATCCAAAGAATTAATTTGGATCTTGTGTGTCAATCTAAGGCTTGACCTTTTCTTGCTTTTATAGGGCCCGATGATGCTAACTCACAAGAGAAGGTAATTGCACTTTCATAAATGTTGTCAGACATATTTTGTAGTTACATGTAACTACAATGTATCTGTGGATATTTCCCAGCTAACATTGTCTTGCCCAGAAATGTTTTTATCTCAAGCTGTATCCCCCTAGTTAAAACTCCAGCCCATGGATTACGATATAATATGATGACATTATGTTTGATGTATTAGTGAATTTTGAATTAGGTCTTTGGATTTCTCCCATTGTCTGTTTTGTTAGTTTACACACATAAGGCTCATCCTGATCCTCTCTCAATTACAGGAAGTGAAGTAAATGTGGAAACATCTGGGATTCCCAGGTGAGTGTGTAATGGAACCAACAAAGATGGAATTTCAGGAATAAACGTGTACCGTTTGTAGTAGGTTGTGGAAGGTGGTACATGGAAAGAAGATATTGAGTTTCGGACAGCAGTTGACAATTAATTATATGACAAGGGGTCGGGCGAGAAAAATATTTTAATAAATGACTGATTTAAAAATTGACAAATTAAAATACTGTTTTACAACAGTGTGAGAATTCATCTCTAGAAGAACTCAAGAGACTTGTGCACATGAGCATGTGTACATGTGGATGCAGATCATTTTGTGTTGTGTTATTAGTGGCTCTATTGGGTTAATTGAACCTGTATTTAAAGATTGAACCCTGTCATTATTTGCTTTCTATGGATTCTGAAGGTAAATATAAGACAAAATCTTTTCAATTGGAATATCATTTATTTTCATAATAAAATGTGTTGTATGTATAGTAATTCCCTGGAAGTGTGTTTATATCATTTGGTTAGTTTTGGGTAATGTTTAATTGTATCGTGCCTTGTAAAGAAGGTATAGGCTACTGTGAATAATGTTTTTCTTATTGAAGTTCCTACCATCTCATCAGAGTTGTTAGATTAATGTATTGCCAGGAATGAGCAACAATTTTGAGGAAATTAGGACTATTTGTAATGGGATGTAATAAAGTCTTTGTTCATCTTCAAACCAGTTTCGCCTGTTTAATTTGTGTTATTGGTCATGTGATAAGTAGATAAGAAGTACTTATTGTCACGATCGTCTAAGGAAGCGGACCAAGGCGCAGCGTGTTGAGCGAACATGTTGACTTTATTTACTTAAAGCAACCACAAACAACAAATCAAATGACGATAGTGAAGTCCACAGCGACAATGACTGAACACGGAACAAAAAAACCCACAACCCTAAGGTGAACACTGACAGTTTAAATATGGCTCCCAATCAGAGATAACGAGCCGACAGCTGACACTCGTTACCTCCGATTGGGAGTCACCTGACGAGACAAGACACTACAACCAAAACCAAACACAACCAAATGAACACACCCTATACCCAACACAACCAAATGAATACACCCTGGCTCAAACTAACACAGTCCCGGAGCCAGAGTGTGACAGTACCCCCCCCCTAAAGGCGCGGACTCCGACCGCGCCTACACCCCAACATAGGGGAGGGCTGGGTGGGTGTTGCTCCTCGGAGGCGGCTCCGGCTCCGGGCTTGACCACCACCCCACTTCACTCCCCCCGTAGTGCCCCCGGTCCGATCTGACCCAGCTTGCTGGATTAGGACCTCCGACGCGCACTCCTGGCTTGGCGCGTGAGGTAGGAATGGACCGGAACTGGCAGACGATACGCACCCTTTGCCTGGTGCGAGGAGCCGGAACGGGCCTCACCAGGCTGACGACTCGCATCCCTGGCTTGGTGCGAGTAGCAGGAATGGGCTGGATCAGGCTGACGGCTCGCACCCTTGGCTTGGTGCGAGTAGCAGGGACGAGCTGAAACAGGCTGACGACTCGTACCCCTGGCTTGGTGCGAGTAGCAGGAACGGGCTGGACCAGTCTGACGACTCGCACCCTTGGCTTGGTGCGAGTAGCAGGAACGGGCTGGACCAGGATAAGGGGCAGCACCGGGCTAAGGGGCAGCACCGGACTAAGGGGCAGCACCGGACTAAGAGGCAGCACCGGACCAAGGGGCAGCACCAGGATAAGGGGCAGCACCAGGATAAGGAGCAGCACCAGGATAAGGGGCAGCACCAGGATAAGGGGCAGCACCGGGCTAAGGGGCAGCACCGGACTAAGGGGCAGCACCGGACTGAATGGCGGATCCTGGCTGGCAGGCTCTGGAGGATCCTGGCTGGACGGCTCTGGCGGATCCTGGCTGGACGGCTCATGGCTGGCTGACGGATCTGGCTGCTCATGGCTGGCTGACGGATCTGGCTGCTCATGGCTGGCGGAAGGCTCTGGCTGATCCTGTCTGGCGGAAGGCTCTGGCTGATCCTGTCTGGCGGAAGGCTCTGGCTGATCCTGTCTGGCGGAAGGCTCTGGCTGCTCCTGTCTGGCGGAAGGCTTCGGCTGCTCCTGTCTGGCGGAAGGCTCTAGCGGCTCCTGTCTGGCGGAAGGCTTTAGCGGCTCCGGTCTGGCGGACGGCTCTAAAGGCTCATGGCAGACGGGCGGCTTTGCAGGCTCAGTACAGACGGGCAGTTCATGCAGCGCTTGGCAGACGGACAGTTCAGACGGCGTTGGGCAGACGGGCAGTTCAGGCGCCGTTGGGCAGACGGGCAGTTCAAGCGCCGTTGGGCAGACGGGCAGTTCAGGCGCCGTTGGGCAGACGGGCAGTTCAGGTGCCGTTGGGCAGACGGGCAGTTCAGGCGCCGTTGGGCAGACGGCAGACTCTGGCCGGCCGAGACGCACTATAGGCCTGGTGCGTGGTGCCGGAACTGGAGGTACCGGGCTGAGGACACGCATCTCAGGGCTAGTGCGGGGAGAAGGAACAGGGCATGCTGGACCCTGGGGACGCACATAAGGGCTAGTGCGTGGTGCCGGAACTGGAGGTACCGGGCTGAGGACACGCATCTCAGGGCTAGTGCGGGGAGAAGGAACAGGGCATGCTGGACTGGCGACGCACACCGTAGGTTGTGTGCGTGGAGCAGGAACAGGCCGGGCTGGCGACGCACACCGTAGGCTTCGTACGTGGAGCAGGAACAGGCCGGGCTGGGCTGGCGACGCACACCGTAGGCGTCGTACGTGGAGCAGGAACAGGCCGGGCTGGGCTGGCGACGCACACCGTAGGCGTCGTACGTGGAGCAGAAACAGGCCGGGCTGGGCTGGCGACGCACACCGTAGGCTTCGTACGTGGAGCAGGAACAGGCCGGGCTGGGCTGGCGACGCACACCGTAGGTTTTGTGCGTGGAGCAGGAACAGGCCGGGCTGGGCTGGCGACGCACACCGTAGGTTTTGTGCGTGGAGCAGGAACAGGCCGGGCTGGGCTGGCGACGCACACCGTAGGTTTTGTACGTGCAGCAGGAACAGGTCGGGCTGGGCTGGCCACGCACACCGTAGGCTTTGTACGTGGAGCAGGAACAGGCCGGGCTGGGCTGGCGACGCACACCGTAGGTTTTGTGCGTGGAGCAGGAACAGGCCGGGCTGGGCTGGCGACGCGCACCGTACACTTAGTGCGGGAAGCAGGAACGAGCCGGGCCGGGCTGGCGACGTGCACCATACACTTAGTGCGGGAAGCAGGAACGAGCCGGACCGGACTGGTGACGCACACCACTTGCTTGGTGTGAGGAGCGGGACTGGGTTTCCTCATAACCCTCCGCTCCCTCAGCTGCCTACCGAGTTCCTCTCGCCGTGCCTCGTTTCTCACCTTTTCCCTAATCGCCTCTAATAGCTCCATCCTCTGCCACATTAACTCCTGCTCCCTCTTCACCAGTAGCCCCCTTAACCTGGTGGCCTCCTCACCTAATCGCCCTGTGGCAGCCTCCTGCTGCCCAGTCGCCCCTGCCGTGTGCCCCCCCCTAAAAAATGTTTGGGGTTGCCTCTCGATCCTCCGACGCTGCTCCCACGTCCAGGCTGCCGATTCCTGGACACGCTGCTTGGTCCTTTCGTGGTGGGTTTTTCTGTCACGATCGTCTAAGGAAGCGGACCAAGGCGCAGCGTGTTGAGCGAACATGTTGACTTTATTAAATTAAAGCAACCACAAACAACAAATCAAATGACGATAGTGAAGTCCACAGCGACACTGACTGAACACGGAACAAAAAAACCCACAACCCTAAGGTGAACACTGACAGTTTAAATATGGCTCCCAATCAGAGATAACGAGCCGACAGCTGACACTCGTTACCTCCGATTGGGAGTCACCTGACGAGACAAGACACTACAACCAAAACCAAACACAACCAAATGAACACACCCTATACCCAACACAACCAAATGAATACACCCTGGCTCAAACTAACACAGTCCCGGAGCCAGAGTGTGACACTTATCATATGAAAATCCTAGTATCTTTTGACTAGGGGTGCTACTGCTTCCACACAATTTGACTCAAGGATGTGAATACTTACTTGATGTTTTATTTTTTTTTTTTTTTTTTTTTTATTTAACTAGGCAAGTCAGTTAAGAACAAATTCTTATTTACAATGACGGCCTACACCGGCCAAACCCGGATCACGCTGGGCCAATTGTGCGCCGCCCTATGGGACTCCCAACAGTGCCTCAAGCACTGAGATGCAGTGCCTTAGACCGCTGCGCCACTCGGGAGCTTTGGTTTTAACCTAGCTGACTAAACTCTACTCCACAATGGAGTTGAGCAGCGACGAGTGTGGACATCAAGTCGTTATCAGTCGATACTGTTGATTTATTTCAATGTTGATTCTTTAATGCATACGTTGTACATTTGTTGGTCCTGTGTAACTGCGTTAATTTATTTGGGTGAAGTCATCTGTAGTTTTTGATAAAAGCAGACCCTGCCAACAAAAAAAATCTGCCGTGCAATGATGGGCTGCTCTGAATTTAAAGATCCCTTTAAGTAGCCCCAAACGGTTCAGACACTACAGACAGAAGTTGGAACATCAGTATTACCAACTTCAGACAAGTCCCGTGACACTTGTGGGGGTCATAGAGCAAAATGGAGAACACCGTAGAGCAAATCGGGGAACACCTGTATAGCAAAACGGGGAACACCATTGTGTTCGTGCGAGTCTCATCTTTCCATAGAGTGGTCATAGTTTGTAGGCCAAACCGTTCGGACTCTACATATGTTTTCGTGAGAAGACCTATTTTTGGGATGTATCATGGTCTGACAAAAACTGCTGTAGTTCGGCCACCTTCCACCGCAGATGCGGATAGCTGGATGCGGTGGATTGAGACGCAGCCTATGCAAAAAAAACAGTTATCTCTAGTTTAAATTTATGGATTTTGATGGGGATTAAAAAATATATATATATTACGTCGATTGACGCACAGGTGTGGTAATAGACTCTTAAGGATTTTAACGAACAACAGCTCCCTTGGCAGAGGTCCTGTAAAACACTACTTTTATCAAGAACAACGGCTTGTATCCCCAAAGGAATAAAACGGGGATACACAGGACAAATATAGGTACAAGGTAGGCATAAAAAATTGAAATTTTTTACAAGTATCGACTGACCGGTGCGGTCAGCCCACACTCATCGCTACACATTTACATTTACGTCATTTAGCAGACGCTCTTATCCAGAGCTACTTACAAATTGGTGCATTCACCTTATAGCCAGTGGGATAACCACTTTACAATTATTATATTTTTTTTTTTATTATTACGCTTCCTGTGTAAGGCAGGGTCATATTCTCCAAATGTTGTAGAGCATGAACCTACAGGATCGGGTCACAGCCTTGATGTTAGCGGAGAACGACAGGGTGTTGTCCAGGGTCACGCCAAGGCTCTTCGCACTCTGGGAGGAGGACACAACGGAGTTGTCAACCGTGATGGCGAGATCATGGAACGGGCAGTCCTTCCCCGGGAGGAAGAGCAGCTCCGTCTTGCCAAGGTTCAGCTTGAGGTGGTGATCCGTCATTCATACTGATATGTCTGCCAGACATGCAGAGATGCGATTCGCCACCTGGTTATCAGAAGGGGGAAAGGAGAAGATTAGTTGTGTGTCGTCTGCGTAGCAATGATAGGAGAGGCCATGTGAGGATATGACAGAGCCAAGTGACTTGGTGTATAGCGAGAATAGGAGAGGGCCTAGAACTGAGCCCTGGGGGACACCAGTGGTGAGAGCACGTGTTGCGGAGACAGCTTCTCGCCACGCCACTTGGTAGGAGCGACCGGTCAGGTAGGACGCAATCCAAGAGTGAGCCGCGCCGGAGATGCCCAGCTCGGAGAGGGTGGAGAGGAGGATCTGATGGTTCACAGTATCAAAGGCAGCAGACAGGTCTAGAAGGACAAGAGCAGAGGAGAGAGAGTTAGCTTTAGCAGTGCGGAGAGCCTCCGTGACACAGAGAAGAGCAGTCTCAGTTGAATGACCAGTCTTGAAACCTGACTGGTTTGGATCAAGAAGGTCATTCTGAGAGAGATAGCAAGAGAGTTGGCTAAAGACGGCACGCTCAATAGTTTTGGAGAGAAAAGAAAGAAGGGATACTGGTCTGTAGTTGTTGACATCAGAGGGATCGAGTGTTGGTTTTTTGAGAAGGGGTGCAACTCTCGCTCTCTTGAAGACGGTAGGGACATAGCCAGCGGTCAAGGATGAGTTGATCAGCGAGGTGAGGTAAGGGAGAAGGTCACCGGAGATGGTCTGGAGAAGAGAGGAGGGGATAGGGTCAAGCGGGCAGGTTGTTGGGCGGCCGGCCGTCACAAGTCGCAAGATTTTATCTGGAGAGAGAGGGGAGAAAGAAGTCAAAGCATAGGGTAGGGCAGTGTGAGCAGGACCAGCAGTGTCATTTGACTTAACAAACGAGGATCGGATGTCGTCAACCTTCTTTTCAAAATGGTTGACGAAGTCATCCACAGAGAGGGAGGAGTGGGGGGGAGGGGGAGGAGGATTCAGCAGGGAGGAGAAGGTGGCTGTCACGGTTTCGGCCGAGGCTGCTCCTTCTCCTTGTTCGGGCAGGCTTCGGCGGTCGTCGTCCCCGGAGTACTAGCTACCACCGTTCGATGTTTCATGTTTGTTTGGTTTTGTCTAGTTGTACACCTGTCCCTTGTTAGTGTTTGATTTTGTTTCCTATTTAGTTATCGTGTGTTGGGTCAGGTGTTATGTGTGATTATTTTTGTCAGCTGTTGCCTTCGAGGAGTTTCCTCTCTCGTTAGTTTGTATTTTCGAGAGTTCGCACTGTGTGCGCTTTTTCTTGTTTTTGCGCACTGTGTGTTGTGCGAAATTGTTCGTGCCGCCCGGTTGGGTTGGCGACTCATTCCTGTTTTGGAGTAAACAAAGTCTGTTGAAGAACACCCTTGTTCCTGCGCTTGATTCCCTGCACCACATCCACACGCAGCACTCTGACAGTGGCAAAGAGCTTCCTAGGGTTAGAGGCAGATGCTTGGAATTTAGAGTGGTAGAAAGTGGCCTTAGCAGCAGAAACAGATGAAGAAAATGTAGAGAGGAGGGAGTGAAAAGATGCCAGGTCCGCAGGGAGTCTAGTTTTCCTCCATTTCCGCTCGGCTGCCTGGAGCCCTGTTCTGTGAGCTCGCAATGAGTCATCAAGCCACGGAGCTGGAGGGGAGGACCGAGCCGGCTGGGAGGATAGGGGACATAGAGAGTCAAAGGATGCAGAAAGGGAGGAGAGGAGGGTTGAGGAGGCAGAATCAGGAGATTGGAGGGAGAAGGATTGAGCAGAGGGAAGAGATGATAGGATGGAAGAGGAGAGAGTAGCGGGAGAGAGAGAGCGAAGGTTGCGACGGCGCATTACTACACAACTCCATTGTAAATCGTGGAGATGAGTTATTGGCTAGTTTTAACCATATGGTTGTACTTTCAGTTGCAAGGAGCACAACTGTATTCGCCTAATACCTGATCCCTATTTATTTAGTATTTTATATTTTATCAACAATACAAAAGATACACATACAAACGATGACATCATACAAACGTCAACAGCTGCCCAGACCAACTAGCCCTCCCTCACCCCTATCTCCAGTGCCCATATCACTTTAAGCCACATGGCCTTCCCTGATCCCAAATTAAAGATAACACATATATATATATATATATATATATACACCTATATACAGTACCAGTCAAAAGTTTGGACACACCTACTCATTCCAGGGTTTTTCTTTATTTTTACTATTTTCTAATAGTGAAGACATCAAAACTATGAAATAACACATATGGAATCATGTAGTAAGCAAAAAAGTGTTAAACAAGAGAGTTCAAGTAACAGACACATCTCAACATCAACTGTTCAGAGGAGACTGCGCGAATCAGGCCTTCGTGGTCAAATTACTGCAAAGAAACCACTACTAAAGGACACCAATAAGAAGAAGAGACTTGCTTGGGCCAAGAAATGGAAATCTGTCCTTTGGTCTGATGAGTCCAAATTTGAGATTTTTGGTTCCAACCTCCACAATCACCCAACCTCAACCCAATTGAGATGGTTTGGGATGAGTTGGGCCGCAGAGTGAAGGAAAAGCAGCCAACAAGTGCTCAGCATATGTGGGAACTCTTTCAAGAATGTTGGAAAAGCATTCCAGTTCTCTGCTGCCAATGACTGGAACAAATTGCAAAAATCTCTGAAGCTGGAGACACTTATCTCCCTCACTAACTTTAAGCATCAGTTGTCAGAGCACCTTACCGATCACTGCACCTGTACACAGCCCATCTGAAATTAGCCCGCCCAACTACCTCATCCCCATATTGTTATTTATTTTGCTCATTTGTACCCCAGTATCTCTATTTGCACATCATCTCTTGCATATCTATCATTCCAGTGTTAATACTAATTGTAATTATTTTGCACTATAGCCTATTTTATTGCCTTACCTCCATAACTTGCTAAATTTGCACACACTGTATATATATGTATTTCTGTTGTATTTTTATTTTATTTTTTTGACTTTGTTTTGTTTTACCCCATATGTAACTCTGTGTTGTTGTTTTTATCGCACTGCTTTGCTTTATCTTGGCCAGGTCGCAGTTGTAAATGAGAACTTGTTCTCAACTGGTTTACCTGGTTAAATAAAGGTGAAATAAATAAATAAAATAAAAATTCCTCATGAAGCTGGTTGAGAGAATGCCAAAAGTGTGCAAAGCTGTCATCAAGGCAAAGGGTGGCTACTTTGAAGAATCTAAAATATATCATATATTTTGATTTGTTTAACACTTTTTTGGTTAGTACATGGTTCCATATGTGTTATTTCATAGTTTTGATGTCTTCACTATTATTCTACAATGTGGAAAATAGTAAAAAATTAAGAAAAACCCTGGAATGAGTAGGTGTGTCCAAACTTTTGACTGGTACTGTATACATATATGTTATTATTATAATTTGTTATGTTAATGCTATCAATATTTATCTTATCAGTCTCAGAAACACAAAATAAAAACTTGTTTAAAAAACTGAAGGGCAAATGTAGTCAATTTGGACAAAACACAAGTGAATAGCCAATGATCGACGATGTTACTGAGCGACAACCAACCAATGGTAGGCTTGAATGTTCCAGAGCTGGGGAGAAATTTAGGTATCGAGCGCGTAAGTTGACTATCATTGTTTTGTCCATAGCTAACCGTCTAACCACTGTCTGAAAACAGTAGCTATATTATATACTACTGCATTTCATACATAAGGATAGTAAAATTATTTGTTTACATGTTGTCTTTGTCATACCCCTACCATTTTACCCAGAGATGTTGGCGCTTTTCTGACCAGCACGCTAACGTTAGCTTTTTGCTAACTAAAGTTAGCACGCTAGCTAGCTAGTTAACAGCACACACAACAATGGTTTTTGGAGTGTTGCTGCAGTTGAGGTTGACAGTAAACAATCTAGTAAATGTGGTATTTTCCTGACAGAAGTTTCAATCAGCGCCATCTCGTTTAATCACATAATACTTCTCCGCATTAGCTACTTTAGCTAGTTACGCGCTAAGTAATTAGCTAGCAAGTGTTCCTTTAACGTTTAGCTAGCTAGCTAACGTTACTGACTGTCTGAACTGGTGGTCCGTGTCCAGTCTATTTTCGTTGTAGTTCACGTAAGCCTAAAAAGTACAAACAATATTTGTTGTTATGTTTGTTTTGATTCGTGTTTGTGAAAAGGGACAGGGGTGGAGTTTACATTGGATAATGGGTAGCAAGCCGTGGCCTAGCCAAAGCTATCAAGGGGGGTTAGCATGCGCCTGATCCTGGTCATTCTCATATTGTAAAAATGGTTGACCATAACTGTGTCAACTTTGAAGAGCGTAGGCATTGCGTTGGATAGACTCACTAAACCAACACCTTGTTATTTGAACTAGGAGTCACTAAACAGAGCAGGATATAGGCCTAAGTTTCAGATGGCATGACAGTGATAACAGTGGTATGTTACTTTTGAATTTGCCCAAGGCATCATTTTGACACCATTGTTTTTGCCTTCCCTCAGCAAAGATAGTCCCTATCTGATGGCGGTTGCCTCAGCAGCAGTGATGGACAGGATTGTAATCCTTGATGATGATGATGAAGAGGAGAGGCCTCAGCCCTCTTCCTCCACCTCCTCCTCTAAACTCTCAGCCAATCAGCGTACGCCTCCAAAAATCCAACAGCCCGCTCCTACTCACATCACCCAATCTCCTTTCGCCACGGTGAAGAAAGAGAGCCACGTTCTTCAAGCAGAGAACCAAAAGCTCTTTACTGAGGTAAGAGGTTACATGGATGGTGGGGATGTTTGGTACAGTCACACTACAAATACGTAGGTTGCGCTGCAACACTGGCAAGCACAACTACTGCTGTGGGTTTGAGTCTTTGCTGGCTATTAGTCCATCACAATGTTGTCAGATCACAGAAATCATAACGTGATTGTACATTACCCTCTTGAACTTCCTACATCACTCTTAATCAGTGTTTTTTCGAATCCCATAGTGTGTGCAAACTTTTTCTCCAGCCCAGCACTAACACAACTGATTATAACTAATCCACTAACCTTAAGCCCTTGTATTGAGCTAGAACAAAAGTCTGCACCCACCCTGTGGGTCCCCCCCCCCAGTGCAAAGATTGAAAAACACTCCTCTAAACCTCTCCCTCGTTCACTCCCCTCCCTCGCTTTGTTCAGTTTGTAGAGTACTGCTCGGCCCACACTCAGGACTGCCCCGAGGTCATGACCTTCCTGCACGCAAAGCACTCCAAGGCCTCGCCGGACTTCCTGTCCTCGGTGGAGTTCCGCAACACACTGGGCCGCTGCCTGACGCGCGCCCAGGCCAGCCGCACCAAGACCTTCGTCTACATCAATGAGCTGTGCACCGTCCTTAAACAGCACTCGGACAAGAGGAGGCAGACTGTCGTGAAGGTGGTTCCTACCGCCGGGGAGAAGAAGGAGATGGAAGAGGAGGCACCGGTGGAGGAGCTACCGTCTACCTCAGGGCAGCAGGAAGAGGAGGAGGATGCGGTGGAGGACGAGAAGGAGAAGAAGACGAAGAAGGCTTCCCGGAGACAGGTCAGCAGCACCATAGATGGACAGTGTCCATGACTTCTCTATAGCTTTGTGCACTTGGTCAACCTCAAGGGTTTAAAAGCATTGGATTGGTTTAGATGAAATATACCAGGCATGTCTTCATCTCTCGCTCTCGGTTTCTCAGATTGCGTACCTGGAGAACCTGCTGAAGATGTACAATGATGAGATCCGGCGGCTGCAGGAGAAGGAGCTGAGCGTCAACGAGCTGGAGGAGGAGGACTCCAGCTACATCCAGGAGCACAGGCTAAAACGCAAGGTCAGATCACCAAGGCCTATTGGTTCCAATGGCTCAGTTGGTTAGAGTGTGACGCTTGTAAAACCAGAGGTTGGTTTGATTCCTGCATGAGCCACATAGTAAATACATGTGTTAACTGTACGTGGCTTTGATAGAAGTATCTGCGAAACTACTTTGTTTTTTTAGCCACTGAAAACCTCTCTCATATAGATGATGAAGATCTATGATAAGCTCTGTGAGCTGAAGGGCTGCAGCAGTCTGACAGGCCGAGTGATCGAGCAGAGGATCCAATATAAAGGGACACGCTACCCTGAGGTCAACAGAAAGGTAACCAACACATGACAATCAACCAACTCATTGTTGATTGACAACCCAATGTTTTTTGAACACTGCTCATTTTTTTATATAGACTATGGATGAAAATGAGCTTTATAACTAACCACAGTATGAGATAAATCAAGGAATAAGTATAAATAGGTAATAAATACATGAAAACATGACGATATACTCTGATCCCACCCCCAGATTGAGCGTTTCATCAATAGTCCCGAGGCCCAGCTGAATCCCCCCGACTACACGGACATCCTGCAGCATGTCCGTCGGGCCAACGAGCGCAAAGGCCTCAACCTCAGCAGAAAGCAGCTGACCCAGATCGCCCAGGACGCCTTCCGTGAGACTGGCAACCGCCTGCAGGAGAGACGCCACCTCGACATGGTCTACAACTTCGGCTCGCACCTCACAGACCTCTACAAACCCGGTAAGAGAACGTAGGATACCATACCTCTACATTCCTGTTTGGAGCTGTGTGTGTTCGTCCGCTGTACGTCTTTCTGTGTGTGTGTGTGTGTGCCTGTGTTTAAGAATAAAGATAATTACACACTAGGGCTGGGAATTGCCAGGGACCTCACGATACGATATCACGATACTTAGGTGCCGATACGATATGTGTTGCGATTCTCACGATTCTATATGTATTGCAATTCGATACTGTGATTTTATTGCAATCTGATGTTCCAAACATATTTATCACCATCTGTCTGCTGCAGAGGGACTAGAGAGAGCTATGAGAAAACAAGTTTTGATCAGTCATGGAAATAAAAGTGCTGAAAACAAAATGGAGCCCTATTTGAAAATAATATGGAGAACAAGCAATGAAGGAAAGATACTGGAGTTTTGGTGCAGGTACAGCCAACTAGCACAAAAATTATATTGTGATATTGTCAAAAAGATACGATAAATGGTCAAAAATAATATCCCGACATGTAGCTGAATGGATCCCCCATCACTATAATACACTTCACCAAGTTGTGAAATCTTGGTAGTTGATACACAGTGATACCAGTATGCTGCTTTGTGCATATCAGGTCGAACATGTGAAAACTATACTGAACAAAAATATAAACGCAAAGTGTTGGTCTCATGAGTTGAAATTAAAGATCCCAGAAATGTTCCATACGCACAAAAAGCTTATTTATCTCAAATTGTGTGCACAAATATGTTTACATCCCTGTTAGGGAGCATTTCTCCTTTGCCCAGGTAATCCATCCACCTGGCAGGTGTGGCATATCAAGAAGCTGATTAAACAGCATTATCATTACACAGGTGCACCTTGTGCTGGGGACAATAAAAGGCCACTCAAAAATGTGCTGTTTTGTCACACAAGACAATGCCACAGACGTCTCAAGTTTTGAAAGAGCGTGCAATTGGCATGCTGACAGCAGGAATATCCACCAGAGCTGTTGCCAGAGAATTTAATGTTAATTTCTCTACCATAAGCTGCCTCCAACGTCGTTTTAGAGAATTTGGCTGTACCTCCAACCGGCCTCACAACCACAGACCATGTGTAACCATGCCAGCCCAGGACCTCCACATCCGGCTTCTTCAGCTGCGGGATCGTCTGAGACCAGCCACCTGGACAGCTGATGAAACTGAGGAGTATTTCTGTCTAATAACGTCCTTTAGTGGGGGAAAAACGAATTATGTTTGGCTGGGCTTGGCTCCTCAGTGGGTCGGCCTGGCTCCCAAGTGGGTGGGCCTATTTGTATTTATTATGGATCCCCATTGGCAGCAGCTACTCTTCCTGGGGTCCAGCAAAATTAAGGCAGTTATACATTTAAAAAACATTACAATACATTCATAACAGATTTCACAACATACACTGCTCAAAAAAATAAAGGGAACACTTAAACAACACAATGTAACTCCAAGTCAATCACACTTCTGTGAAATCAAACTGTCCACTTAGGAAGCAACACTGATTGACAATACATTTCACATGCTGTTGTGCAAATGGAATAGACAACAGGTGGAAATTATAGGCAATTAGCAAGACGCCCCCAATAAAGGACTGGTTTTGCAGGTGGTGACCACAGACCACTTCTCAGTTCCTATGCTTCCTGGCTGATGTTTTGGTCACTTTTGAATGCTGGCGGTGCTTTCACTCTAGTGGTAGCATGAGACGGAGTCTACAACCCACACAAGTGGCTCAGGTAGTGCAGCTCATCCAGGATGGCACATCAATGCGAGCTGTGGCAAGAAGGTTTGCTGTGTCTGTCAGCGTAGTGTCCAGAGCACGGAGGCGCTACCAGGAGACAGGCCAGTACATCAGGAGACGTGGAGGAGGCCGTAGGAGGGCAACAACCCAGCAGCAGGACTGCTACCTCCGCCTTTGTGCAAGGAGGAGCAGGAGGAGCACTGCCAGAGCCCTGCAAAATGACCTCCAGCAGGCCACAAATGTGCATGTGTCTGCTCAAACGGTCAGAAACAGACTCTATGAGGGCCCGACGTCCACAGGTGGGGGTTGTGCTTTTACAGCCCAACACTGTGCAGGACGTTTGGCATTTGCCAGAGAACACCAAGATTGGTAAATTCGCCACTGGCGCCCTGTGCTCTTCACAGATGAAAGCAGGTTCACACTGAGCACATGTGACAGACGTGACAGAGTCTGGAGACGCCGTGGAGAACGTTCTGCTGCCTGCAACATCCTCCAGCATGACCGGTTTGGCGGTGGGTCAGTCATGGTGTGGGGTGGCATTTCTTTGGGGGGCCGCACAGCCCTCCATGTGCTCGCCAGAGGTAGCCTGACTGCCATTAGGTACCGAGATGAGATCCTCAGACCCCTTGTGAGACCATATGCTGGTGCGGTTGGCCCTGGGTTCCTCCTAATGCAAGACAATGCTAGACCTCATGTGGCTGGAGTGTGTCAGCAGTTCCTACAAGAGGAAGGCATTGATGCTATGGACTGGCCCGCCCGTTCCCCAGACCTGAATCCAATTGAGCACATCTGGGACATCATGTCTCGCTCCATCCACCAACGCCACGTTGCACCACAGACGGTCCAGGAGTTGGCGGATGCTTTAGTCCAGGTCTGGGAGGAGATCCCTCAGGAGACCATCCGCCACCTCATCAGGAGCATGCCCAGGCATTGTAGGGAGGTCATACAGTCACGTGGAGGCCACACACACTACTGAGCCTAATTTTGACTTGTTTTAAGGACATTACATCAAAGTTGGATCAGCCTGTAGTGTGGTATTCCACTTTAATTTTGAGGGTGACTCCAAATCCAGACCTCCATGGGTTGATACATTTGATTTCCATTAATAATTTGTGTGATTTTGTTGTCAGCACATTCAACTATGTAAAGAAAGAAGTATTTAATAAGATTATTTCATTCATTCAGATCTAGGATGTGTTATTTTAGTGTTCCCTTTATTTTTTGGAGCAGTGTATTAAGTGTGTGCCCTCAGGCCTCTACTATACTACCACTTATCTATAACACAATCTATGTGTACAGTACCAGTCAAAAGTTTGGCCACACCTACTCATTCAAGGTTTTTTTTTTTTTTTTTAAACTATTTTCTACAGTGTAGAATAATAGTGAAGACAACAAAACTATGAAATAACACATATGGAATAATTTAGTAACCAAAAAAGTGTTAAACAAATCAAAATATCAAAAGATTCTTCAAATACAATGTAAAAAATAAAGAAAAATCCTTTAATGAGTAGGTGTGTCCAAACTTTTGACTGGTAGTGTACATATAGTGCATATGTTATCGTGTGTTTGTATGCATGTGTCTGTTTTCTGTTGCTTCACAGTCCCCGCTGTTCCATAAGGTGTATTTGTATGTTTTTTAAATCTAATTTTACTGCTGGAATGACTTACTTGATGTGGAATAGAGTTCCATGTAGTACTGTGCACCTCCCATAGTCGGTTCTGGACTTGGGGATTGTGAAGAGACCTCTGGTGGCAAGTCTTGTGGGGTATGCATGGGTGTCCGAGCTGTGTGCCAGTAGTTCAAACACACAGCTCGGTGCATTCAATATGTCAATACCTCTCACAAATACAAGTAGTGATGAAGTCAATCTCTCCTCCACTTTGAGCCAGGAGACCCTGACATACATATTATTATTGTTAGCTCTCTGTGTACATCCAAGGGCCAGCCATGCTGTCCTCTTCTGAGCCAAATGCAATTTTCCTAAGTCCCTCTTTGTGGCACCTGACCACACGACTGAACAGTAGTCCAGGTGTGACAAAACTAGGGCCTGTAGGACCTGTCTTGTTGATAGTGCTGTTAAGAATGCAGAGCAGCACTTTATTCCCTCCCAGGCCCACCCATGGCTGTGCCCCTGCCCAGTCATGTGAAATCCATAGATTAGAGCCTAATGAATTTATTTCAATTGACTGATTTCCTTATGAACTGTAACTCAGTAAAATCGTTAAAATTGTTGCATGTTGGTTTTATATTTTTCTTCAGTATATTTAGGAAGGTTGACTACGAAGTCATTAACTCTCACCCTTTTTTCCCCCTCTTTCATTTACCCCACTCTTACCAGCTACTGACCCTGCCCTGTTGGACCCCACATTGGCCCGTAAGCTGCGCTCTAACCGGGAAGCGGCTCTCTCCAGCCTGGAGCAGGTCATCTCCAAATACGCCCTGAAGCAGGACGACACGGAGGAGGTGGAAAGGAGGAAACGGCTAGAGAGAGACAGGCAAAAGAAAGAGGTAAGAGACCTAGAAGGAGAACAATTCTGTAATTGTCACCTGTTATGATCAGCCAGAGCTTTTCCACATCTGCTTGACATATTACATGGTATTTATTTACACAAATGACTGTCACCACTCACTGTCTGTCTGTTCTGTGTGTCAATGGAAGGGTCAGTCATCGGAGCAGGCCACCACAGCCGATGACAATCCCCTGATGAAGGGAGAGGAGGAGGTTGAGGAACAAGCTGAGGAAGAGGATGATGAAGACGACGAGTCGTCTGATCCAGACATCGAGGAGGAGATCCAGGCCAGCAAAGCACAAGCAGGGCCAGGTGATGATGATGATGAATTGCATTTACACAGCGCCTTTCTCAAATTCGGTGTTTTAAAACAGTTTATCCTGGGTTTTGGCTACAACATAGATAAATACAATAAAAATCTGGTTTCAACTGATTTGAGTTTTATTTTTTTCAGAGGAGGAGGAGGACAACAATGAGGTAGAGGCAGCCAACAAGAGTGAAACCGAGGTGGATAGGGGGAGTGACGGAGACCAGGACGGAGGAGAGGAAGAAGAGAACACTGAGGAGGACAAAGACTCTGTGACGAGAGGAACCAGCCCCGTCTCCCGGGGTGATGCCCCACGGATCTCCTCCTTAGTCGACGAATCCCCCACAGACAGCCCCAGCCAATCAGAGGCGATGGAGGCAGACAAGGGGAACGAATCATCTGATACCAACCTCCCAAAGGAGGACGTTGTTTCCTCCAATCACGTTTTGGCTGTGTCTGTAAGCACTAGTGTGGAAACTAAGGACTCCTCAGCCTCCCCCATGGCGACGAATCAGGTCTCTTTGCCTCCATCACCTGTGCTGATTTCGACCAATGAGGACTCGTGCACGGTCATCATTGAGACGAGGTCAGCAAATTGCAGCCCCCGGCCACCCAGTACCAAAGACACCTCCAGAGGCAGGAAGAGAAGGAGGAAAGAATCCAGGAAGTCTCACAACGGGGATTTAAGGTACCACAATGGGAGGTGAGTCTGTAGCACCCAAATGAATTATGTAAAATGAAGTCCATGGAAGATATCTATCCATCTTCAAGTGTGGAGACTTGAATTAATTAAATGTCTCTCCATCTGCAGTGAGAGTGACATCCCTCTGGACATGGGTGTGGTGACCAGTAGCCCCTTGCAGGCAGACTCCACCAGGGCTGACACTCCCACCCAGGAGATGGTCACCAGTTCCCAGTCCACCCCGCCTCCCAAGAAAAACAAGGTGAGAGTAAACGATGTCTCACTACACATTTTTCCCACGTATGCTCAGCATATCATACCCTTGCACTGAAACACGTCTCACCCCTCTAAAACCCCCAAACATCTGTCACCTCTGTGTGTGTCATGCACATGCTCCGCTGCCATGACATGTCACTAAAAACCTTTGTTTGTACAGTATGAAAACCTCTTACCAACCTCAATTTTGTGTCATTTTCAGGTCAACGTGGCCACCCAGTGTGACCCGGACGAAGTGATCGTCCTATCGGACTCGGAATAACCTCTGCCCCCACCGTACTGGGTGTTCACGCTTCCCATTACTAGTCTGAAACCAGGTCTGTTTATGCTACACAAACAGATCTGAGACCAGGCTATCCAACTTGACTTCCAAACTAGTGCCTGCTAATGTGAACTCTTGAAAGTGTACGCATTTTCAGACGGGAGGGTAAACCTTTCATTACAGATTGAAACTGGCGATGGACGTGGTAGTTTACCGCCAATGTTTACATTCTATATTTATATGCCAATTTTTGCCCAGTGTCTGGATTGTGCGGGAAGGGAGCAGCATCGCGTCAGGTTATTTTTGTATTTTAGCTGTAAAAATGAGTTCAATTAGATATTATTTTTCCAGTTTTCTTTGTTTGTCAATTATTTTGGATGGGTGAATGGATGTGTGTTAGTATGCTAGAATGCTGGCAATAGAATATGAACCAGTTGAACACAGGAGTACTGTATCTTAGATTTATACAGGGCCAATACAGGATCTATCCATCAACTTTGTCAGTGCAATCATGGATCATTTATTGTATGGTTGGTGTTGCTGTGTCCACATAGTGCAACCTAATGGCCTGAACACTGCTATTTCGCCCAAGTAATATGCAAGCGCAACTTGATGGCAGACTGGCCATCAGTTTAATTGTGTTCAAGATGCCAAACAAATGCAATTGAGTAGATGCATTGATCTAAATAGCCAGGTACAGCTTTGCATTAATGTGAAATGTAGAGCAGTGTCCTACTTTATGCAGGCATAACTCCCTGAAGAAATGTTCACATTGACTTTACATAAATAGGTGTGTTCAGGCTGATGGGCATTGTTGTCCATCTCAGCATGTAGTAAGTAAGCAGGTGTTTGGGTTGGTTTGCATCAAACTTGTTCATAACTCCTCTTGCTTGAGACTGCAAACAGTGGTAATGATTAATCAAACTCAATATTTTTCAAACCTCCCCAAGACGCTTTGATTGGATTCCCTTGTTTTTACCAATTCAATAACATTACAGGGGAAGACCGCTTAATTGTTATCCAATTTTCCTTTTAGTACACTGAGAAGCAAAGGGCACATTTCCTTTTAAATAAACTTTGATAATAACAAAGCTGTTTGTGGTAAACCTCGTCATCTGAACGTTCCAAAACGTTGTGTCCTGCTGAACGCCCCCCAGGTGCTTTGTGGGTAAAGGGATAGGGGAAGGTAAAGTGAAACGTGAATTGTAAATTTGGAAAACAAGAATAGTGACATGCTAAAACAGGTTACAGAAATGAACTTTGAAGACTATTTTTATTTAACCTTTATTTAACTAGGCAAGTCAATTAAGAACAAATTCTTATTTACAGTGACTGCCTACCAAGAGGCAAAAGGCCTCCTGTGGGGACGGGGATGAAAAATGTAGGACAAAACACATCACGGCAAAAGAGACACCACAACACTACATAAGGAGAGGCCTAAGACAACACAACATGGTAGAAACACATGGCAGCAGCACAGACAATGGCACGAAGGACAAAAAGGTAGAGACAACACATCACCCGAAGCAGCCACAAGTGTCAGTAAGAGTGTCCGTGATTGAGTCTTTGAATGTAGCGATGGAGATCAAACTGTCCAGTTTGAGTGTTTTTTGCAGCTCGTTCCAGTCACTAGCTGCAGTGAACTGAAAAGAGGAGTGACCCAGGGATGTGTGTGCTTAGAGGACCTTAAACAGAATGTTACTGGTAGAACGGGTGCTTTTTTAGGAGGGTGAGGGTTGCAGTAGGTATCTCAGATAGGGGGGAGTGAGGCCTAGAAGGGTTTTAGAAATAAGCATCAACCAGTGGGGTCTTGTGCTGGGTATACAGAGATGGCCAGTTTACAGAGGAGTTAGAGCGCAGTGATGTGTCCTATAAGGTGCATTGGTGGTAAATCTGATGGCTGAATGGTAAATAATATCTAGCTGCTTGAGAGCACCCTTTCCTGCCAATCTATAAATTACGTCTCTGTAATCTAGCATGGGTAGGATGGTCATCTGAATCAGGGTTAGTTTGTGTCAGCTGGGGTGAAAGAGGAGTGATTATTATAGAGGAAACAAAGTCTAGATGTCAACCTTAGCCTGCAGCATTTGGTATTTTATTAGGATTCCCATTAGCTGTTGCAAAAGCAGCAGCTACTCTTCCTGGGGTCCACACAAAACATGAAATAATACAGAACATTAATTGACAAGAACAGCTTGGATATGTGCTGAGAGAAGGACAGTGTACTGTCTAGCCATACTCCCAAGTACTTGTCAAGCTTTAAACCCTCAGATGTAGTAATCACACCGGTGGGGAGAGGGGCATTCTCCTTACCGAACCACATGATCTTTGTTTTGGAGGTGTTCAAAACAAGTTTCAGGGCAGAGAAAGATTGCTGGAGACTTAAGAAAGCTTTGTTGTAGAGCGTTCAACACAAAATCCGAATGTATCAAGACTACTGAAGGGCTTTAAGAGAAGTTGTGAGACGTTTTTTTCTGAAATAGATCACACATTAACACAAGCACCGCTTGCTAAATTACAACAGTTATTGTTTTATTTTGCCTTTTGATACAGATTAGTAAAGATAACATTGATGTACTTGGCCTATGGTAACAATGTCTAAGAAAGACAACTCTGGTTCCATAAGCATGTGCAGCAACAATCATGTGTTCAATATCAAATAATAGAATGTAACCCAAAATATGCACTATTCAGAAGCTACAAATAACAGTACTGTTATTTCAGACCTAGTGTGCAGTAGCTACAAGCCTACTACATTTTTCCTCACAATTTTCCCTTTATGAAAAAAGATCTTTGTCCTGCCATGAAGATGACAACTGAATACTGGCTGCTAAGCCTCATACAATGGTACGAACTTTGAGATCATCTGATGAAAAGGTGCTACAGTACATGAAGCTGAATCCATTATTGATTATGTGGTGTAAATGCTATGAAATGCAGCCAGGCAAGTTATTGAACAGTTCTCTCTTGAATTGGTCAATGGAATCCCCTTTCAATCCCACACAAATAGCAGCCAACTTGATTATTAAGAGGAGGGAGTCTAGACTTCTTTCTTTTGAGCCTGTGACTCACACCTGTCAATACATTACTCACTATTGACCAGAAGCACTTTATATCTCTACAGTGGGGTCCGAAATTAGACACCCTTGATAAAGATGAGCAAAAATGACTATAAAATAAATAATTCAAATACTGAGCTATATTGTATGCAAAAAAAAAAGACATTTTTATACTAATACAATTGCTCAGAGAAATTGCTTTTTGTATACTTTTTCTCAAAGTAGGGGTAAAAATGTATACCCGTTTTCAATACCTCACCTTGCGAGGATAATGGCACTGAGCCGTTATCAAAAAAATTATATGAGTTGGAGAACACATTGGGAGGTATCTTAGACCATTCCTCCATACAGAATCTTTCCAGATCCTTGATATCCTTCGTCTGCATTTATGGACTGCCCTCTTCAATTCAAACCACAGGTTTTCAATGGGTTTCAAGTCTGGAGACTGAGATGGCTATTGCAAAAAAATATTTTGTGGCCAATTAACCATTTCTTTGTGGATTTTGTGTGCTTGGGGTTAATGTCTTGCTGGAAGATCCACTTGTAGCCAAGTTTCATCCTCCTGGCAGAGGCAACCAGTGGTGGAAAAAGTACCCAATAGTCCTAATTCAGTAAAATTAAAGATACCTTAATAGAAAATGACTAAAGTGAAAGTCTAAAAGTATTTGGTTTTAAATATAAAGTCTCAAAAGTAAATGTAATTGCTCAAATATACTGAAGTATCAAAAGTAAAAGTATAAATCATTTAACATTTCTTATATTAAGCAAACCAGACAGCACCATTTTCTTGTTTTTTAAATTTACAAATAGCCAGGAGCACACTCCAACACTCAGACATAATTTACAAAAGAAGCATTTGTGTTTAGTGAGTCCGCCAGATCATAGGCAGTAGGGATGACCAGGGATGTTCTCTTGAGAAGTATGTGAATTGGACCCCTTTCCTGTCCTGCTAAGCATTCAAAATGTAACAAGTACTTTTGGGTGTCAGCGAAAATGTATGGAATAAAAAGTACATTTTCTTTAGGAATGTAGTGAAGTAAAAGTTGTCAAAAATATGAATAGTAAAGTACAGATATCCACAAAAAAACTGCTTTAGTACTTTAAAGTATTTCTACTTAAGTACTTTACACCACTGGAGACAACCAGGTTTTTGGCTAAAATGTCCTGGTACTGGGTAAAGTTCATGATGCCGCATTTACCTTACTGAAGTCTGTCTCTGGACTTGAAATAAGCGCAGACAAAGGATATCAAGGATCTGGAAGGATTTTGTATGGAGTAATGGTCCAAGATCCCTCGTAATGTGTTCTCCAACTCATAAAACATTTTAGAAAAAGGTTCAGTGCCGTTATCCTCGCAAGGTAAGGTATTGAAAAAAGGGGTGTCAATAATTTTGAGCCCTACCTTTGAGAATACAAAATATTACTTGTTAAACAAAAACTATTTTTCTGAGCAATTGTATTAGTATAAAATAATTTCCCTTTTCTTTTTTGGTTGCATACAATATAGCTCAGTATTTAAATTATTTATTTTATACAGTCATTTTTTGCTCATCTTTATCAAGTGTGTCAATGTCGGACCCTACGCCCACTGTATGTGTTTAGTAAGGCAGTCAAATTACGTATATAAATTAGTGTTAAATAGTTATATATTCCCTATTTGATAAATCTATCTAAACATAAATATCTTTATATACACTTAGTTTAAGCTCACTTCAAATGCAATTTTCTCCATTAAACTGCTGCAATCACGAGCTACATCTTTCATACATTTTACCAATCATGACTTAACAGATAAGTATACACAAACACTAAAGCCAACAGGTCTTCCTCTTAACTCCAGACAAGTTTTTCTCCTGCATAAAAATATATCCACAGCCTTCATAGAAGGTAAAAACATACAGAATCATGGTGGATACTGCTTTTTTTAGCCACCCTACTGTTAATAGTACTCAATGTCTCTCAAGGCATGCATTGGAATTTGGCAGTTTGAGTGAGGAATGATCTGTAAGAAACCCAGTTATCAGACTAATGCTTTGTCTACCATCAATATTAATGAGGATCACTTGTAAACACACTATACACTGTATAGCTTTGCACCTATCATAATGGTAACAGATTAGTAACTGATATAATAGGATATATTTACAGTAATACGGTACCATAGCACTGCAATTGGACACATCACCAGTGTGAAACAAGATGGCAGTACTGCAAGTGTCTTCTTCACAGACACTTTTACTTGAAATGCACATTCTCTGGCAGAAAAGGCATATAATATAGTACACATCATTTACAACAGCAACTTTCCTCTCTAACATTTTGTCAAAGGTGTCATTGGTGAGGCATTGTCTCTTAATTTTTGGTTTTCTTGACATAGCATGTGCCACAAAAGTCATACAGAGAATAAACTTGACATTTAAGAATATACTGAACTGTACAATGGTCCCGAGCCATTTGCCAATGGGGGGAACTTTCCAGTGGTCATTGGAATGCCTCTCCAAAGCCTCTTGTCTTAAACACTCGTGTTGTTCACCCGTTTGGTTAAGTGACACTACTATTATTAGCACCAACCTCACACACTTCCTCCTGACACCCACCTCGGCTGACCCCCAGACCAAACACAGATGAACCTTGACCCTGCAACACGCTCTGAGAGTTGACCCCTAAGAGCGCTCCAGCACTGGCCATGGTCAGGCAAGAGACAGCATTGCTGCTGCTACCTGTACTGGAATGATGTGGGGACAAGACAGAGATCCCGCTCCCGCTCCTGCCACCAACGGCACCTTGACCGGCCTCGCTGGTCGAGAGGTGGAGATGAGGGAGGTGCTGTGGGGAGATGTCATCAGTGTGGTCGGACCCTCCCCCGTCCTCGCTCCTGCCAGCCGCCCCGCTACGTCTCTCGCAGTGGGAGCGGTGCCGCATGAAGCTGTCACGCCACATGAACTTCTTGCCGCAGCCGTGGCAGTCGTAGGGCTTGAGCCCCGTGTGGGTCTTCATGTGCTCCGTCAGGTGGTGCTTCATCTTGAACTTCTTGGCGCAGACCGGGCAGTTGAAGGGCCGCAGGTCCAGGTGCATGTTGATGTGGCGGTCGCGCATGCTCTTGTGGGTGAAGGTCTTTCCACAGTGGCACATGAACACCTTCCCTGAACTCCCGCCAACACCCCCGTCCAGTCCATCTAAGCCACCGGCCCAAACCCCCCTGTGCTGACAAATGGACCGCTCCATGCTCCAGGTTTGGCCCTTTAAATGGTGACCCGGCCATAACACCTCCCATTCCTATGGGTTGAGAGGAATCTAGAGAGGATTGGCTGTACATGAGGATCTGGTTGCCTTGCATGTCTATGGGAAAGAGCTGAGCTCTAGCAGCAGCAGCAGACTGGACTTGGCCAAGTAGGGCTGAGACGGCTCTGCCACCACTCTGACCAGCGCTGTCATGAAGGTGCTGTGGGGGAGTCTGGTCCATCAAACCACTGTCAAACTTGAGGTAGTCTTCAGAAGACTGGCAGTAATCCATCTATGAGAGAAAGTGATTCAGTTTGGTAACGATCCAAAAATACAGAAACTGACACTCATTCCAAATGCACCTATCAAACAGTTGTCCTCCTGATAAGTTAAAATGGTAAGTAGCCACATCCACAGACAAACATATTTTGCATCAAGGGTTTGACTAACCTGTGTCTCCATTTCATGGTCCGCTTTGCTGCTCAGCTCTCCAGACAGAGTCCTAATGTTGGATATGTTGAACGTCCTCTCCCTCTCCCTCAACATCTCCAACTCTCTCTCCTCTTCCTCATCTGGCCCTTCCTCACCCGACACCACAATCAGGTCATCGTCCTGGGGCCTCTCTGTTTTTACCACCACCCACTGTTTCCGGGGCATGATGCTGGGCTGGCTGTAGGTGGGCCGCTTCTGGAGAGGGGAGGCATCCCCATCTTGGTAGGACGACACCCCGAAGCTATCGCTGACTCCAACCTCTTGGTCCGAGACAGAGGTCGTCGTCTTCTTCCTGCTGCTCCGTCGCTTCCTATGGTACTGGAGCTCTTCTTCCTCTTCTTCATCCTCTTCTTCGATGAGGAAGGCATCCTCGCCCCCAGAAGGGGTGCAGTAGCTGGGGGTGGAGTTCACGCCTCCCTCCCCTGCAGCTCCAGCGGCCGCCGCTCCCCCTCCGAAGTTGGTGTCTCTGGGACTAAAGTAGTTGGTGCTGCTGGGAGACTGGCTCTCACTCAGGGACGGGCGGCTGGGAGGGTGAGGGGCTGGCTGGGTGTTGCTTCCCCCAGCTTGGGCACTACCAGCCCCTAGGGAGCTTTCACTGCTACTGCATCCAGGGTTCCCCTGCGCTCCCCCAATGACGCCCTGGGCTGCGCCCCCACTCCCCACCACCCGGCCCTCTTTGAGGAGCTCTGTGCACTTGTCCACGATGTGCCACATCTGCAGCACGCTGCCCACGGTGAGGTAGTTGACGATGTCTTCGCGGAGCATGCGCAGCTGGCCCGTGTAGGCGCAGCTCAGGATGCTCTCGAACGCCAGCGGGTCCATAACGGCAGGGATGGAGACGGTGGACATGTTCTTCAAGAGCACCTGGGGAGGGGGGGGGGGGGGGTTGAAGAGACATTTAATGATGGTTGGCGACATCTAATGCACAGAATCAAAGATATCGATGTAAACTCTCACTTCAGTGCAGAAAGTTGCATAGTGCAATAGGCCTTGGATGAAAACCATCTAGATGAGTCACAACCAGTGGCTGTTAGAGTTAAACTATACTGAACAAAACTATAAACGCAACATGCAACAATTTTACTGAGTTACAGTTCATAAAAGGAAATCAGTCAATTGAAATAAATTCATTAGGCCCTAATTTATGGATTTCACGACTGGGAAGGGGTGCAGCCATGGGTGGGCCTTGGAGGGCATAGGCCCACCCACTGGGGAGCCAGGCCCAGCCAATCAGAATTAGTTTTTCCCCACAAAAGGGCTTTATTACAGACAGAAATACTCCTCAGACCCCAACAATGCAGTTTATTTAAAAATAAAAAAAAGTGTTAAGTAAAAAATAGATAAATAACAAATAGCAAATAATTAAAGAGCAGCAGTAAAATAAAATGACAGTAGGGAGGCTATGTACAGGGGGTACTGGTACAGAGTCAATGTGCGGGGGCACCGGTTATTGCCCCCAGCACAAGGTGCACCTGTATATTGATTATGCTGTTTAATCATCTTCTTGATATTCCACACATCAGGTGGCTGGATTATCTTGACAAATGATAAAATGCTCACTAACATGGATGCAAACAAATGTGTGCACAAAATGAGAGAGAAATACGGTTTTTGTGCATTTGGAAAATGTATGCAATCTTATTTCAGCTCATGAAAACCAGCACTTTACATCTTGCGTTTACATTTTTGTTCAGTGTAAATTCAGTCGGGCTATGCAACGCACCAGCAAGCAGAACAACAGACACACACCTGGTCATGAAAGTAGGGTGAGGATGCAGCTAGCACGCAGCGGTGGGCCTTGAACACCTGCCCCTGGACCTGGATGGAGAGGTCACAGAGCTGGCCCTCCTCGCGCTGCCTGTTCAGGCTGTCCAGTACAGACGCCTGGGCGCTGGGGAAGCACACCTGTACCACCGAGCCAGAGCTGCTGCTACAGCCCTGCCCCATGGACAGAGAATGCATCTAGGCTTTTGAAGAGATGGAAAATGTCGTTTGTGACGGAATAATTCATTATATGACGTGGTGGATGAATGGTGTATATCCTTTAATTTACTTACAAGTAGGAAACAATATCAACCACATTCCCAAAAAAATGTCAACCACATTCCCAAAACAGTAATATGAAATTGCCCTAGACGGTCAATCAACCAATCACGACCCCTTTAATGTAAACTTCACAAATCACAACTGATGCTTTCTTATAATGCATTGACTCAAATTTCTCTGAATGACAGACACCACCTTGCTTGAGACTCAAAAATATTTACGAACATTGTGGAAAAAAACAATATTGTTGATAAATAATGCAACAGCCTATAACGTTAGATTGGTTCTATAAATCAAAGAAACTGGCAGTAGACAATTAAAACGTGATGAGTAGTAGTCTTTATTTTGCCACATGCATAGTAAATGAACGTATTGTAATGCAATTAGTTAGCTAGTTTAACACAGGCTTGCAGTCAATCAATCCTGCTAACCAGCCAGCATTTGTAGCCAAATCTAGCTAACGTTAATAACAAAGCAAGCTGGTTTGTCAGCAGTCTGCGCCGGTGGACATGTTTTGAAAAGGCAGTGTTTTGAGTTTCTCTCATGACAAAGCATAGCTAGGTAGCTGCAAGGTCTCAATCATGAGAGCATCATTTGGCTACAACTAAAAACTGCCTTCAATGTCTATCTAGCTAGCTAACGTTAGCGTGCTAAAATGTATCTAGCTAGCAAGCTAAACACCACTTACCGTTTTAGAATGTGCACCTTTGAAACAATTATGTAAAGCCAGACTCTCTCTATCCCGACAAGCTACCTTCTCTGTTGTTTACATATACATTTCCAATGGTATGATTTGTTTCCCATCATGTTTGGCAGACAACCCGTCATGCGCCGCCTTTGACGAAATGCCAGACATACTGAACAGCAGACTAAAAAAGTAACACGGTTGTCTCGACTAGACACTGGAGGTGGCATAGCAACCAAGCTATGACAAAAACGACCTCTTGTGGCGTTTAGTGAAAGCGGTAAAAGGTTTATTAAACCAGAGATATGTATATGACGAGATGCTCATGTCTCCGCCATAGGCGGGAAGGCAGGCGACAAGTTTAGGTCTGCATATTAAACCCATAAACGTATTGGGTTTATTCTGGATATATTTTGGGGAGAGTGAGCGCTCTCACTTCGATTTTTCCACTCGGATTAAATTGTAATTCCACTTTCAACCTCTGCAACAGATCTGGAAGGCAACATTATCAGACCAAATAACCTTTATTCTTAGAAGGGCTATAAATCAGACTCAGTTCACAGATGCATAGTAAAGGCAGACTGTCAGTTGGTGGTAAAACATCCAGCGATTTAGTGGTAAAATAAATAAATAAATAATTGCAGGTGGATCCACTCTGATCATGCTCCCTATACTTAAAATGCATTTTTCAGCAAAAGGTGGGTAAACTGTTGGGCAAAGAAAAAAGGCAGGTAAACTGCATTTACCCTACACTACTGAAAACATCCAGTAGCCTCCTGTAGCTCAGTTGGTAGAGCATGGCGCTTGCAACGCCAGGGATGTGGGTTCGATTCCCATGGGGGGCCAGTATAAAAAATGTATGCACTCACTAACTAAGTCACTCTGGATAAGAGCGTCTGCTAAATGACAAAAAATGTAAAAAAAATTAGGTAATCTATAGGATTAAGTACAAGCCTTAGAAAATTAGCTTTTATTGATCTTTGTACATCGGATCCAATTGTTAAAAATTTATAATATCAAATGAAGCCACCAATACCAGGGAATGAGTTTAAAAATCCCAATGTACAGACACCACACTCAATTTACATTCCCCCCCCATTTACTTCCGGTTAGCTGACGCTGTGCCAATTACACAATCATTTACCTGCAACAGAATAAATAAAACAGTTAAAATATGCCATTGTTATTCAGATAAACAAAATATGCACAGCATTATCTTCCAGAGTTGTATAAAAAAAATAAAAATAAAATAAAAAAAGTGTTAGAACACTGACCTTGCAGGCAAACCGTAGAGAGTTCAGGGTCTCCGCGAAGCTGTCAGCCTCTGGGGCAATGTTGACAAACATCAAGCTAGAAGGAGAAGAGAAAGACAATATTACATATGGCGAAGTACTTTGCCTTGCTAATTATCACAACCACAAACTTAAAAATAACCGTCCACAAAAAAACATAAAAGACGAATCTGCTCACAAGTCCCATTCTAACTCAGCTCATAATCAACTTCAACTTACGTCTTGCTGTTTCCTCCGAGGCAGCTTTGGAGGAGGTACGTCAGCTTTGAGTTTCTGTATGGGATAAAGCTCTCCTGGAACACAGACAAAGAGTGGGAGGGTAAGCAAACGCAATCAAGCTATAACTTACAAAGCACTCGTGACTCCATAAGCAAGCCACCAGCCTAGGAGGCATTGGGCTGTAAACATATACCTTATTGGCCAGGGCGGCGATAACAATCCCAAGGTTGGTCAAGGAGCAGTTGATGGCTGTCATCTCCTTGAAGCGGTCCCCTTGGGATTGGCTCTTCTGCACCCGCTCGCTGCCAGCCAGGTCCACCAAACACAGAGAGGCTGCAGACAGACACAGAAACACAGTCAGGATTCTCATACCAGAATGCAATCAGACAACAGGATTATTATTAGTTCTCATTTAAGATCTCAGCCTTTGTGTAGTTGCAGATGTACAAAACGCAGACAACCAGTGAACACGTTTACATTTGCACTTGACGTCTCTCCCAGAGTTCTCGCCCTCAATGTCGAGCTGGAACACCGAGTGCGAGCGGGAGGAGTGGTCGTTAATGTTGGTCCGGGCTGTGGATCGGTTCTGGTTGGCCAGTGCGATCAGGTTGTAGACCTGGATGGACAATTGGTCAAAATGGACACATTAGATTAGCCTATTGAATAGGGGATACTTTATTGCAAAGATTTGAACCTCCACTACAGGTTTATCAGAGAACTGCTCTACCTCCCATGTTCGACATGTAGGACACTTCAAATCCTAAATGGGCAAAACAAATAGGACACTTTGAATCATAACCACTATTGAGGTAATTATATATTTTTTGAATACAGTGCCTTCGGAAAGTATTCAGACCCCTTGACTTTTTCCACATTTTTGTTACGTTACAGCCTTATCCTATAATGGATTAAATAAAACATTTTCCTCAATCTCCACACAATACCCCATAATGACAAAGCGAAAACAGGTTTTTAGAAATGTTTGCACATTTATAAAAAATGAAAAACAGAAATACCTTATTTACATAAGTATTCAGACCTTTTGCTATGAGACTTGAAATTGAGCTTAGCTGCATCCTGTTTCCATTGATCATCCTTGAGATGTTTCTACAACTTGATTGGAGTCCACCTGTGGTAAATTCAATTGATTGGACATGATTTGGAAAGGCACACACCTGTCTATATAAGGTCCCACAGACAGGATTGTGTGGAGGCACAAATCTGGGGAAGGGTACCAAAAAATGTCTGCTGCGTTGAAGGTCCACAAGAACAGTGGCCTCCATCATTCTTAAATGGAAGAAGTTTGGAACCACCAAGACTCTTACTAGAGCTGGCTGCCCGGCCAAACTGAGCAATCGGTGGAGAAGGGCCTTGGTCAGGGAGGTGACCAAGAACCAGACGGTCAGCTGTGCAGCAACGCTCCCCATCCAACCTGATAGAGCTAGAGAGGATCTGCAGAGAAGAATGGGAGAAACTCCCCAAATACAGATGAGCCAAGCTTGTAGCGTCATACCCAAGAAGACTCATTGCTGTAATCGCTGCCAAAAGGTGCTTCAACAAAGTACTGAGTAAAGGGTCTGAATACAAAAATGTCTAAAAACCTGTTTTTGCTTTGTCATTATGGGGTATTGTGTGTAGATTGATGAGGAAAAAAACGATTTAATCAATTTTAGAATAAGGCTGTAACTTAATAAAATGTGGGAAAAGTCAAGGGGTCTGAATACTTTCCGAAGGCACTGTATATGTTCTTGTCCCATACACCAGATAGGTGCAGTGAAATGTTATTTTTACAGGGTTAGCAATGGCATATAGTACAGCACCCCTGCAGCAATACTGGTATGCATTTGTACACAGTAGTGATGTGCAGTTTTAACTACTTTTTACTGGCTTGAGAGTCATGATTTTTTTTTCTGACTGACTCGTCAATTTTAGTCTTTAGTTTGACCTGCTAGTGCTGGCCGCAGTGACTCCTACAGCAGGATTAATACCCCCTCCTCCGGCTCAGAGGCTCAAGACTCACTCCGACCACCAACTAACAGTCTGTCATATGCGCGCATGAAAATAGATGAGCATAGAGAAGAGAAATACATGTTTAGAACTGATAATTGATCGCATGGTGCAAGGATGACTGCAATTAATTGATTATTGAATGTTATGGACACAGCTCTGTTAAACTCGAACCCTTTGAGGGGCTGCAGATTGCGAATGACTGTGCCCATCTCCTTGCCTGGCTGTGCCCACCCAGACTCCTTACACCAGTCAAATGCTACGCCACGCCCACAGACGTTACTTTCTTCTCGGCATTGTGAGATGCATATAGCGAATGACAGAGCAGCAGAATAATTTAGTGTGAGTCGTGAGGCTACTTTTCACAAGCAATGCATTCTGCCAAGAGTGGTTCACAATCTAGTCCGGTTGCGGCCAAAACAAGACCGCGTTTCAAATGTATCAAGAAATAATCATATTTGTATGCCTAGCAATCAACAAATGTACATTGTTTAATGCACACATTTACAAGTCAGTCACAAATGACAGCTCCAATAAGCTCCATATGGTGAACGACATATGAACGAGAAGCTCGTAGAATCATGACTCTTTCGAGTTCAGGTCATCATTCGCTATTGGTTATTTTTACTGAACGATTCGAAATATATATATAGTCTACCTTTACATCTAAAATGTACAAATAAAATAAATCTAACAGTGAAATTTAGGCTAATATGAGTGTTGAAATGCCCACCTCATCTTCAGAGTTGACCTTCTGGTAGGTCAGATTGGTGACGGTGACCTCATTGTTGGCACTTTTGCGAATCTCGTGCTCCGGTCTCTTGTTGGCCTTGCCAGTGTAGAGGAGATCACGCAGAGTTTCGTTGTAGATCTCAACAAAACTGGCAGTAAATGTAAACTGGAAAAAAGAAACCAGAATCCAGTCAAAAGGGTTACATGTTGCAAGTACCATGCATTTAACACCAGCTTCAACTCATTCGACTTAAACGGGAAATACATAATCTGATCTAAAAAACAGAAACACATTGATACAGTAAACGTCAAATAAACAAGTTCAAATTCCGTTCACTGTAATAGAACTGTTCAGCTGAAGGGACAGCTACCACGCAGTCGGATGAAAACCAATGGTATCATTATTACCTGCCATCCCCTGCTCCCGCAGTGTCGTGGAGGCCTGAAAGATCTGCTGCACGGCCCGGGGGATGACCCCACGCATGTCCTCCATCTCACCCCCCTCCATGGTGTAGGTTTTACCACTGCCCGTCTGGCCGTAGGCGAAGCAGCAGACGTTGTAGCCATCCAGGGCTGACTGCACCAGGAGGGAAATCTCCTCAAACACATCCTGTTGCGGGGTGGAGGGCCCAAACACCCGGTCAAAGCTGAAGTTGTAGCTCTTTTGGATGTCTCCGGAGCGCCCTATGTGAGACTACATGGGAATGGGGGAGTGATAGGATTTTCTTCCTGCCATTTCTGACACTTGTAAAGCAAGATTAGAGGACCACACTGAAAAACATACAATTACCAAAAAATATATTTAGGTGTGTCATTGTTACCTCTTCAGTCTTGGCCAGTGTGAGAGCCTTGTTATCGTGGGCCGGGAGCTGAATATGGTCAATCTGCCCGCCGGTCTGCAGGGGGCGCACTCTGCAGAACACCCTGATGTTTCCCTATAGAAATAAGAGAGCGGTCAGAGTCTTGTTAGTTTGAGAAGAGCATTGCAACTTTTTGTTCCTGTTTTGAGCTGCAATGGACAGGGGCCTATCTAACGAGAACATACAGTATGTTTGAAGCAGAAATATAAGAAAGAAAAAACGAATTCAATAGGCTCAGGAGAATTTAATTGTATGCAATCCTATCTTCAGGGCATTGAGCATTCGCCCTACTGAATGACCCACTTGACTTGCCTTTAGTTCTTGGATTGCGTTGTGGAGCCCCCGGCGCTCCATCTCTCCACAGTGAATTACGTCTGTCTGGCGGGCCACAGTCTCCTCCAAGTTGCGGACCGTGTCCTGGGTCTCCCTCAGTGTGGTCTGGCAACGGGAGAAAGTGGAGCCCTGCACAGAGAGCTGGGTCTGGTAGAAAGAGAGAAGTCAGACACTGATCCACCAGATGCACATTAAATAAATATTGGGCTGCAACAGGGGTTCTGTCGAAGAAACATAATGGCAATGGGTTTTAATGAGGCTGGACCAAATGGCTATGCCTGACTTCCTCCGATATTACTGACCAAGGAGCAGAGGCACGTTATAAAAACAGACCTCACTCAATACAGCTATACACCATTAATCTCATGTCACAGCAGTCAAGATGATCAGTTGTCACAATGAGTAGGCCTGCGTGCTATTTCACTTCTTGTGTGGGAGAACATGTTCTGTCAATGTTTTTTTTTTTTATTGTTTTATTTTAGCTGGATTAAGTTTGTTTTTCCTATCACGTATGGGTTTTATTTTGACCTTTTCTACTATTTTTGTTACCCCGTCCAGTTGGTGGCGGCATTACACCTTTTGGTGTTGTAGTCTGCCATAGAATCCACAGAAGATGCTCTACCTGCACATTGTGAAGCTCGGCCTCCAGACTCTTTCTCAAGCCCAGAAGAACTTTGTGCTCCACAGTGAGGTTGCATAGGGTCTTCTCCAAGGAGGCCTTCTCACTGGATACAATGGTCAGCTGCTCTTTGACACCAGACAGGGTAGCCAGCTCCTGCTCATAGTGGCTGCAACACAGAGAAAAACTGGGTAAGATTGGCAAACACACCAAAAGGACCAAAAGAGTCACATGTAGTGATACTATCATGTTATTATTACTGCACTACTGGCTAAATGTATGCATACAGTTATGACTGGTATAACACTCAAGAAAGGGAAGAAAACATTTCAGCTATATGTCCACTTGTTTTGCTAAATCAACACTTACCCGACGTTCCTTACGCAAAATAAGTCACTCTTTCCTATGTGGTTACAATGCCCTTTCCCATGCCACTACACTCATTTTCACATAATGGTCGACCCTATGCATGTTCAATGGTACTCCGTACCTGAGCTGTGTGTGGAGTTCTTGTATCTCTGAAGTCATCTGTGCTTCCTTCTGTCTGCCTTTAGCTACAGACTCCTTCAGACTCTCGTTCTCCTGGGCCACTGTTTTGACTTTGCTCTGGTAGTTGGAAATCTTGCCCTCCATGTCAGTAACTTTCCCCTTGAGGTCCCATGCAGGCCGCCGTGAACCCCCAACAGCTGCTGTTGGTGCTAGGGAAACACATTCAACACCCTCATGTCTTAAGATATGGAAGAGAATGTTAGTAGATACAAGATAGAGAACATTTTATTAAGGAAGGACCATGTGAAAAAACAGGGACTAGGGTAGTTACCTGCTTTAGCGACGGATGCATTGGGCTTCTGAAAACCTATTCAGGGTATAAAAAAAAAAAGTTTAAAATCAAGGCCGGTCTGGACCGCACCAAATCTGAACCAAAGATAGACATCTATGATTGGTTCAGATTTGGTCCGGACCAAAAACCAATGTCTGTGGAAAATCAAGGCCAGTCCGGAACTGCACAAAAAGAACAAGTCCATAAGGAGTCAGTCCGTGCTTACTGAGGTGTAGCCTACAGTGTTGCCTGAAATGTAATTTTATGAATACCCATCTGTGGTTAGCCTAGCATTTGTAAATCACCAAAAAGCAACGTCCAGACAGGACCAAAAAAAGACGTCTGCTCGTGCTTACTAGTGTGTGTAGCCTACAATGTCAGCCCGCAATGGAATTTTATGAATGCCCATCCATGTGGTAGGCCTTTGCATTGGCTTTATTAGTCCTGATTCCTGTGACTAATCAATTTGGCTATTTAAGCTCTGAATATCAGCTACCCAACTCCATCAGGAGTTATCGCAAGCCTTTTTGCAATGCGGGAAATGCAGAAATATTTTCTATTTTGCTATGATAAGTTTGTCAAAAAATGTACGGATACAAACGTCAAACCACTGATCATTACAATGGGATGAAACTCCTGGACAACAGTTGTGATTGTCCATTCCATAATGGCCATTTTACTTTGACCTGTCCTGTTTTTAAGATATGTTGCTTTGTTAACATGACAGCTAATTTTTTTGTTAATTGAGCGCCATTTAGGTTAGGCTATTTGATCGGAGAAACCTGCATGATGTAAAAAGTGTCCGTCTCATTACATTGTCATACATTTTATCTCCAGCCTGTAGGCTTCAGAAAAGGCCACATATTCTTACTACCATATCCTATATCTGCTACATGATTTATGTTAGATTATTATTTTTTGACTGCACGTTGGTGGAGCGCTGCAAGTGGTACCGGAGCGCCAAGTCTAGGTCCAAAAGGTTTCTTAACAGCTTCTACCCCCAAGCCATATGACTTCTGAACAGCTAATCATGGCTAACCAGACTATTTGCACTGCCCCCCCCACCCCACCCCCCTCTTTTACGCTGCTGCTACTCTGTTTATTATCTATGCATAGTCACTTTAACTCTACCCACATGTACATATTCCCTCAATTACCTCGACTAGCCGGTACCCCCTGTATATAGCCTCCCTACTGTTATTAGATTTTACTGCTGGTCTTTAGTCATTTGCTTTTATTTTTTACTTAACATCTTTTTTTATTTTTTACTGCATTGTTGGTTAAGGGCTTGTAAGTAAGCATTTCACTGTAATGTCTACACCTGTTGTATTCGGCGCATGTGGCAAATAACATTTGATTTGCATCTCTCCAACAGCACCCTGGAGAGGCGCGCTGGGAATGGACAAAAAATATTTTGTGCCCCTGCCTTTGACAAAGTGGCCACTGCTTATCAAAGGCCAGCATCAGCGCTCACCTAAAAAGCCCATATGCCACTGGTTGAGAGAAATGGTCATTGTTTTTGCGCATAATTATGTGAGGTTTTATGTGTTGTTGTTGGATGTGTGTCTTGATCAGTTTAACTCAGAAAATGCCGCCCTCGTCAATCTGCCGCCATAGGCTGCCGCCTAATCCTGCCTGATGAGCGGGCAGGCCGTGCCTATAGCATATCATAATCACATCAATAAACGGATGATAAACAAATTCTGAACACGTGACAGCAAAATTGATGCAGAGGACGTGACAAATAAACTAAAAAACAGGGGAATATTTACACGTTGCTCAGGAGGTAAAGTCAGATGTGTGGAATAAATGTGACTTATTGAAAATACGGGAGAACAAGAAAAAAACGGTAAGGAGCTAGCGCTGCGTGCATATGTGTGCCAAACAGGTGCTGTATAGATTACAATATCATTTCTGACCGTTTGGAACAATGCAAACAACACTAAATAAAGTATAAGCGTACCAGAGAGTCTGTTGTAACGTTATTTTTTTTGCTAAGCCTTTATTTTTACATTTTAGTCATTTAGCAGACGCTCTTATCCAGAGCGACTTACAGTTAGTGAGTGCATACATTTTCATACTGGCCCCCCGTGGGAAACGAACCCACAACCCTGGCGTTGCAAGCGCCATGCTCTACCAACTGAGCAACAGGAGACTTTATTACAGTAAAGACTGAAAACAGCCAAATTCATTCATTAATGCAATTTCTGAAATGGAACTAATTATTCAAGGCTGGCTTTATTTTTAAACTAAAAATGCTTGATTGCAATTCAAAGTCATGAATGACTTGTATGCTGACATGAACAAATGAACGATACAGTAGCCTATAGAAGTATTGAAATGTAGGCCTAAGTAAGTTATGGTATTAAGACTAAGTAAGTTACGGTATTAAGACTAAACAGGATATGCTCTTAGGCCTACAGCTCGGGTGCTATACTAAGCCTACTAATGATAATGACATTACTTATTATTATAATAACAATAAGGAGATCAAGAAAAACGAGCATTATTATTATTATAAATATTATTTTTCGGACAATTTGGAACAGTGTAAATACTAAATAAATTATAAATAATACCAGAGAGGCTGTTCTAACAGAAAAGAAAAAAAGTGTAAAGCCTTTATTACAGCAAAGCAAAGATTAAAAACAGCCGAATTTGTGAAATCGTTTGCTTGACATGTTGTTGTGTGAGCCTTGGTGCTCACGGAATCAGTAGGCTATTAAACAAACACTCAAATAGGCAACAGAAGCAGGATCTGTCTTATTTCTGTAGATATATTGATGATTTATAAAGCCAGGAACATTTAAGTTAGGCTATTGATTATAGACCTAATGAAGTTCACGTTTCCTCTCTGTTCACTTTTGTTAGACAATAAGGCAAGGGCTGTTTTCTCATCTCCTCCTTCTGCTGCTGCCTCCAGCATTGTTCTCAACAACAATATGCTGGTTAACTTTGCTATTATGCACATAGCAACATGGTCTAGGAAAAGCCGCCAATTCAAAAGTGCACTGATGTGTTTCAGAACCGTGGACAGCGACCACTATCCAACGCGGGAGAAGGCGCATTTGTTATAAAATAATATTTATTAGTGTTGTACCACTGTTTATGTAATATAACCATATACAATTTCAGTAGCACATGTCTTAGACTGATTGACTGTGCCACCCCCATGGCCTCCACAATGGATCTGTCCCCTCAGCGTGAATCAGACAGATGTCTTATATACACACACACACACAGTGGGGAGAACAAGTATTTCATACACTGCCGATTTTGCAGGTTTTCCTACTTACAAAGCATGTAGAGGTCTGTAATTTTTTTCATAGGTACACTTCAACTGTGAGAGACGGAATCTAAAACAAAAATCCAGAAAATCACATTGTATGATTTTTAAGTAATTAATTTGCATTTTATTGCATGACATAAGTATTTGATCACCTACCAACCAGTAAGAATTCCGGCTCTCACAGAACTGTTCGTTTTTCTTTAAGAAGCCCTCCTGTTCTCCACTCATTACCTGTATTAACTGCACCTGTTTGAACTCGTTACCTGTATAAAAGACACCTGTCCACACACTCAAACAGACTTCAACCTCTCCACAATGGCCAAGACCAGAGAGCTGTGTAAGGACATCAGGGATAACATTGTAGACCTGCACAAGGCTGGGATGGGCTACAGGACAATAGGGAAGCAGCTTGGTGAGAAGGCAACAACTGTTGGCGCAATTATTAGAAAATGGAAGAAGTTCAAGATGACGGTCAATCACCCTCGGTCTGGGGCTCCATGCAAGGTCTCACCTCGTGGGGCATCAATGATCATGAGGAAGGTGAGGGATCAGCCCATAACTACACGGCAGGACCTGGTCAATGACCTGAAGAGAGCTGGGACCACAGTCTCAAAGAAAACCATTAGTAACACACTACGTCGTCATGGATTAAAATCCTGCAGCGCACGCAAGGTCCCCCTGCTCAAGCCAGCGCATGTCCAGGCCCGTCTGAAGTTTGCCAATGACCATCTGGATGATCCAGAGGAGGAATGGGAGAAGGTCATGTGGTCTGATGAGACAAAAATAGAGCTTTTTGGTCTAAACTCCACTCACCGTGTTTGGAGGAAGAAGAAGGATGAGTACAACCCCAAGAACACCATCCCAACCGTGAAGCATGGAGGTGGAAACATCATTCTTTGGGGATGCTTTTCTGCAAAGGGGACAGGACGACTGCACCGTATTGAGGGGAGGATGGATGGGGCCATGTATAGCGAGATCTTGGCCAACATCCTCCTTCCCTCAGTAAGAGGCTTGTTCAACCTCTCTTTCGTAACGTCTGAGATCCCCAGAGATTGGAAAGCTGCCGCGGTCATCCCCCTCTTCAAAAGGGGGTGACACTCTAGATCCAAACTGTTACAGACCCATATCCATCCTGCCCTGCCTTTCAAAAGTTTTTGAAAGCCAAATCAACAAACAGATCACCGACCATTTCGAATCCCACCGTACCTTCTCCGCTATGCAATCCGGTTTCCGAGCTGGTCATGGGTGCACTTCAGCCACGCTCAAGGTCCTAAACGATATTATAACCGCGATCGATAATAGACAGTACTGTGCAGCCGTTTTCATTGACCTGGCCAAGGCTTTCGACTCTGTCAACCACCGCATTCTTATTGGCAGACTAAATAGCCTTGGTTTCTCAAATGACTGCCTCGCCTGGTTCACCAACTACTTCTCAGATAGAGTTCAATGTGTCAAATCGGAGGGCCTGTTGTCTGGACCTATGGCAGTCTCTATGGGGGTGCCACAGGGTTCAATTCTTGGGCCGACTCTTTTCTCTGTGTATATCAATGACGTCGCTCTTGCTGCTGGTGACTCTCAGATCCACCTCTACGCAGACGACACCATTTTGTATACATCTGGCCCTTCATTGGACACTGTGTTAACAAACCTCCAAACGAGCTTCAATTCCATACAACACTCCTTCAGTAGCCTCCAACTGCTCTTAAACACTAGTAAAACTAAATGCATGCTCTTCAACCGAACGCTGCTTGCACCCGCCCACCCGACTAGAATCATTACTCTAGACGGGTCTGACCTAGAGTATGTGGACAACTACAAATATCTAGGTGTCTGGTTAGACTGTAAACTCTCCTTCCAGACTCACATTAAGAATCTCCAATCCAAAGTTAAATCTAGAACCGGTTTCCTATTTCGCAACAAAGCCTCCTTCACTCATGCTGCCAAACATGCCCTCGTAAAACTGACTATCCTACCGATCCTTGACTTCGGCGATGTCATTTACAAAATAGCCTCCAACACTCTACTCAGCAAATTGGATGTTGTCTATCACAGTGCCATCCGTTTTGTCTCCAAAGCCCCATATAATACCCACCACTGTGACCTGTACGCTCTTGTTGGCTGGTCCTCACTACATATTCGTCGCCAAACCCACTGGCTCCAGGCCATCTATAAATCACTGCTAGGCAAATCCCCGCCTTATCTTAGCTCATTGGTCACCATAGCAACACCCACCCGTAGTCTGCGCTCCAGCGGGTATATCTCACTGGTCATCCCCAAAGCCAACACCTCCTTTGGCCGCAATTCCTTCCAGTTCTCTGCTGCCAATGACTGGAACAAATTTCAAAAATCTCTGAAGCTGGAGACACTTATCTCCCTCACTAACTTTAAGCATCAGTTGTCAGAGCACCTTACCGATCACTGCACCTGTACACAGCCCATCTGAAATTAGCCCGCCCAACTACCTCATCCCTATATTGTTATTTATTTTGCTCATTTGTACCCCAGTATCTCTATTTGCACATCATTCCAGTGTTATTACTAAATTGTAATTATTTTGCACTATAGCCTATTTTATTGCCTTACCTCCATAACTTGCTAAATTTGCACACTGTATATTATATGTATTTCTGTTGTATTTTTGACTTTGTTTTGTTTTACCCCATATGTAACTCTGTGTTGTTGTTTTTATCGCACTGCTTTGCTTTATCTTGGCCAGGTCGCAGTTGTAAATGAGAATTGTTCTCAACTGGTTTTCCTGGTTAAATAAAGGTGAAATAAAAATAAATAAAAAAAGAGCATTGAAGATGGGTCGTGGCTGGGTCTTCCAGCATGACAACGACCCAAAACACACAGCCAGGGCAACTAAGGAGTGGCTCCGTAAGAAGCATCTCAAGGTCCTGGAGTGGCCTAGCCAGTCTCCAGACCTGAACCAAATATAAAATCTTTGGAGGGAGCTGAAAGTCTGTATTGCCCAGCGACACCCCCAAAACCTGAAGGATCTGGAGAAGGTCTGTATGGAGGAGTGGGCCAAAATCCCTGCTGCAGTGTGTGCAAACCTGGTCAAGAACTACAGGAAACGTATGATCTCTGTAATTGCAAAAAAATGTTTCTGTACCAAATATTAAGTTCTGCTTTTCTGATGTATCAAATACTTATGTCATGCAATAAAATGCAAATTAATTACTTAAATCATACAATGTGATTTTCTGGATTTTTGTTTTAGATTCCATCTCACAGTTGAAGTGTCCCTATGATAACAATTACAGACCTCTACATGCTTTGTAAGTAGGAAAACCTGCAAAATCGGCAGTGTATCAAATACTTGTTCTCCCCACTGTATTTTTTGTTGTTGCTACTGCTCGACTAAAGAAATCTCGGTCGACCAACAGCCTATCGACCAAACAATCCACCAGTCGACTAAATGTGGTCAGCCCTACAAACAAGACAGTAGACTGACAAGGCGAGCTATTAATATTGTTATATCTTTCAAAATACACAGCATCTCACCTCTAGACGGAGCAGCAGCTACAGTGGCTGCTCCTGTAGGCTGAATCAGTTTGGCTGCTAAGAGAGAGGGAGGGAAGGATAAGACACCTATTAAAAAATTTAAAAAACATACCGGTATTACAGAAAGACTGTGCTAAAACTATGAGAAACAAGCAGTGATGACATTGGCCAAGCCAGTCAATTAAGTGTTTGAGAGGACACTCACCAACAGCTCGCTTGGGTGGAGGTGGCCTCTTTGTTCCCATCGCATTAGCTGCCTGTCTCATCTTTGGGTCGGAATCAACCCTTCTCATCTTTTTCTAAAGGAGACATTTGTTTTTTTTTCACTGGCAACCGTCTAACTTGTTTGTGGTGCATAAAGTAATTTAACAAGTTTGTCATCAGTGTCTGTATTACAGTTTTGCAGAAGATAGCTACACACCTGAACAGGTTGTTGGTCAGAGTTTATGCTTTCCTGACTAGAGGAGAGGACTCTTTTACCAGACATGACTGGTAGGCGGGAGGTGCTCTGCAGAGGGAGGAATATTTGTTAGGGAAAGAGAGAAATCAGCTAACATTACTAAGTGATAACAGATTGTAGCAGGCACTCCATTTAGCTACATGTTTTTCTGTAGTTGTCAATAGCGAAAGAGTTAACTGACTTTCCTGGCCTAAGCTTGTGATGATATCCAAAACCACCCTATTCAGACTGATAGCTAACGTTAGGTTGATAACTAGCTAGTTATATCAGACTCCCACTCACCTCTTTATTCATATGGCTTGAATTTCTATGTACCTAAAACAGAGCGATCAACATGTAATGTTAACCATAAAGGAATCAATGGCATGACACAGGGCTAGTTAAAAAGAAACCATTGGCCTGTTAACGTTAGCAAGCCAAGTAACGTTAGAATGGTGGGTTGAATTACGAACTGCAACTTTGTATAGATTGTAGCTAGAGAGCCATGATTTAGTTGTGTGAATACACCAATAGCAAGCTAGCAGGAGTGTAGTTAACTATAAGAATATTTGGTTGGAGTAACAAAAATTAACTGGCTTACTGTACAGTAGCTAACTAACTAGTTAGGTAGCAAACCTTAGTTAGCTAAATTTATACAACCAGCAAGTCGTTGTAAAGTTGAGGGAAGGGCAAAGCCATAGCAGTCATACAAAATTCAAACAGCCTTACAAACATATAAACAAGACATTTCTGAAATGGCAGTTTAGCAATATTTCTTACCAATATGCGTATTCACACTGGTATGAAAATGTATGCACTCACTAACTATAAGAGCGTCTGCTAAATGACTAAAATGTTTCGCTGCAGATACCACAGCCGTTTGAATTTCAAATAGAAACGTTTTGCTGGCGCTTTACACCTTCCAACGTAATTGGTTGACCTTAGACCAATCGTGTTACATGAAACACAATCCCGCCTTCTTTTTTCCTTACTACCCAATCCAATGTAAATGGAGTCATTTGGGGGATGGGCAATTTTCCGCCAATTCCATTCCCTATACAGAAAATCCATTGATCCGATCAGTCGTTGGATCAATTAAATTAAATATGATATCGAATATAAAATATAAATATATCTCTGAATCGTCAGCTTGGCTCTATAAAATAACAATATTAAGTTAAATATGGACATATGAGCAAATTTAATACGAAACAGTCAGATACAGTCAAGATGGAATTGAGAAAAAACAAAAACAAGCATGGATTCAAACAATCACTTTGTAGTCTACATTTTCCAATACTGAATTATTATGTAAACCAGTTTTCCATTCTCTGTTTGAATTAATGAAAAAAATAGCTTTTTTCCCAAAGATATTTCCACAGCACATTGGCAAATCTTTTTTTTTTCATATTTTTTTTTTTGGGGGATGGGGTGTGAATTATTATGATTATTATGTTATAGATAAAATACATTAATACTATCCATTTTCACATTCATCAAAACCTACTGGTCCTAAAATACATTGTTCTCTCATCATATACTGTTCCCTATCAAATACTGTTCACCCATAATGTATCCCCATCAGATAGGCTACTATTGTTTATGATACCGATCACTGCACTTGTACACAACCCATCTGAAATTAGCCCACCCAACTACCTCATCCCCATATTGTTATTTATTTTGCTCATTTGCACCCCAGTATCTCTATTTGCACATCATCTCTTGCACATCTATCATTCCAGTGTTAATACTAAATTGTAATTATTTTGCACTATGGTCTATTTATTGCCTTACCTCCATAACTTGCTACATTTGCCCACACTGTATATATATTTTCTGTTGTATTTTTGACTTTATGTTATGTTTACCCCATATGTAACTCTGTGTTGTTGTTTTTATCGCACTGCTTTGCTTTATCTTGGCCAGGTCGCAGTTGTAAATGAGAACTTGTTCTCAACTGGCTTACCTGGTTAAATAAAGGTGAAAAAAACAACAACCTGTAAACCCCATAACAACTTTTCACATCCTATCACATCACACACAGTTAGAGCTGTTGTTAGGGAGCTATAACAGGGCTCAAAGACCAGCTGGGGCTACATACAGTGGGGGAAAAAAGTATTTAGTCAGCCACCAATTGTGCAAGTTCTCCCACTTAAAAAGATGAGAGAGGCCTGTAATTTTCATCATAGGTACACGTCAACTATGACAGACAAAATTAGAAGAAAAAAAATCCAGAAAATCACATTGTAGGATTTTTAATGAATTTTTTTGCAATTTATGGTGGAAAATAAGTATTTGGTCAATAAAAAAAGTTTCTCAATACTTTGTTATATACCCATTGTTGCCAATGACACAGGTCAAACGTTTTCTGTAAGTCTTCACAAGGTTTTCACACACTGTTGCTGGTATTTTGGCCCATTCCTCCATGCAGATCTCCTCTAGAGCAGTGATGTTTTGGGGCTGTCGCTGGGCAACACAGACTTTCAACTCCCTCCAAAGATTTTCTATGGGGTTGAGATCTGGAGACTGGCTAGGCCACTCCAGGACCTTGAAATGCTTCTTACGAAGCCACTCCTTCGTTGCCCGGGCAGTGTGTTTGGGATCATTGTCATGCTGAAAGACCCAGCCACGTTTCATCTTCAATGCCCTTGCTGATGGAAGGAGGTTTTCACTCAAAATCTCACGATACATGGCCCCATTCATTCTTTCCTTTACACGGACCAGTCGTCCTGGTCGCTTTGCAGAAAAACAGCCCCAAAGCATGATGTTTCCACCCCCATGCTTCACAGTAGGTATGGTGTTCTTTGGATGCAACTCAGCATTCTTTGTCCTCCAAACACGACGAGTTGAGTTTTTACCAAAAAGTTATATTTTGGTTTCATCTGACCATATGACATTCTCCCAATCCTCTTCTGGATCATCCAAATGCACTCTAGCAAACTTCAGACGGGCCTGGACATGTACTGGCTTAAGCAGGGGGACACGTCTGGCACTGCAGGATTTGAGTCCCTGGCGGCGTAGTGTGTTACTGATGGTAGGCTTTGTTACTTTGGTCCCAGCTCTCTGCAGGTCAAACAGGTGCCATTAATACAGGCAACAAGTGGAGGACAGAGGAGCCTCTTAAAGAAGAAGTTACAGGTCTGTGAGAGCCAGAAATCTTGCTTGTTTGTAGGTGACCAAATACCTATTTTCCACCATAATTTGCAAATAAATTCATAAAAAATCCTACAATGTGATTTTCTGGATTTTTTTCTCTCAATTTGTCTGTCATAGTTGACGTGTACCTATGATGAAAATTACAGGCCTCTCTCATCTTTTTAAGTGGGAGAACTTGCACAATTGGTGGCTGACTAAATACTTTTTTCCCCCACTGTATGTACTGCTTGCATTACATATGCACTGTGTCGGGTGGATGCACCCAGAGTAGGTGTTGGTGAGGTCCTCCCTGGAAACTCCAAGTCTTTTGAGCCATCAGAGGAAAAATGTTCGGAGTTGGTTGGCCATAGCTTGCCAGCAGCCATGCCATCCTGCCCGCACCCCACTCCTGGGTTGCCTCTGAAGCTAAGCAGGGTTGGTCCTTGGGTGGGAGACCTGGGGCCCGTATTCCCTACTCAGTAAGGGTAATTATGGGTTAAGGTCTTTTGGCGAAGGTGATTTTGCATTTGGATGGGTTTAGTGATATTTTGCTGGATTGGACCCATGTATCCCAGGCTATTCAGGGTTGTCTGGTGTGTGGTAATGTCTCAGCAGGAATGAAGCAGGTTAAGGCCATCATGCCCAGCTGTTGTTCACGTCACAGGCAGCGATGTCAATTATGGCCATGATGGGGGAACAACAGTAGGCCTATATGATGGGAAAGCAGTATCTGATAGAGAACAGTATATTGTAGCGATCCTCACCATGTCAAATAAAATACAATACAATTGGTCACATACACATATTTAGCAGATGTGAGCCATGTTACAATTTCCACCAAGTGTGTTAACCCTATTGGCGCGGTGCTTAGGGTGTTTGCCTTTGCGTACGCTACATTTGGACTGAGTTTTCTCTTTGCGTTCGCTACATTGAAGTCAGAAGTGGGATTACATTTTACATTGACATTTTAGTCATTTAGCAGACGCGACGTACAGTTAGTGAGTGCATACATTTTTCATACGGGATGGCGGCCGTGGGGCCATCGTAACACACAGCCTGGGATGTGAGGGGGCTGAGTTTAGTCGAAGCAAGGGGACGTGGCTTCCCGTTCGGAGAGGGCAGTGTAGCAATCCTCGCTATATGAGCCACATTACAATTCGCACCAAGTGGGTTAAACCTATTGGCGCGATGCGGAGACCAAGGTATTCACGCCGGAGACCAGGGTGCGCTTCCCGCTCGCTACAATATAATGGGGAAACAATATCTGATGGGGGAGCATAATTTTTTTCTTGCAACTTGTTGGAAACTGTACCCGGGACCCCAGTTTGGGAACCCCTGTCTTTGCCTGTACTGTGGCATACCTGTATTAGCCATCATTGATAGTGGAAGGCTACCACTGTACAGGACCCCAACGACCGGAAATCAATTTCTCGGCACCGGAAGTGTAGAGCGGAGCAGACCCACAAGAGGGAAAAAGAAAAAAAAATAGAGGAAAAAAAATCTGCGAATCTGAGGTTTCGGGTGGATTTGGACTGAGTTTCCGAACTGTCCCGACCCGCGGGAGCCCGGGGGTTGAGAAGGAATCGCCAACACCGGTAATTAACATCGAGTTATTACTCAATCGTTAATTATTTGTGTGTTACAGAGCAACTCATACGAGCTGCTGCTATCCTCTATCTGGACAGCCGGAAGTCTGCATGAAGCTGCGTCTCGCACAGGGGCATTGGCTTCGACGTTTTTTTCTCTGTTTTTTTTATTCGCGAGTTCTTTTTTTATTTTTTTTATTTTCTCAGTGTGACGAACAGTGAGAGGGGTGGAGGCATTGTTGTTTTCAAGCGGAAGTTTATTTGTTTATTGTCGACTTAAAAAATAGGCCGCATAGTTGCAAGCTAGCTAACAAAAGCAGAAATTAATTGAGGCAAGTTAGCTAGCTAACCTCAAAGAGTTAGCTAGCTTCTACGTTAGCTAACTAGCTCAGATTTCACTCATCTGTTGTTGTTAGATAATTAACTAGCTAGCTAACATCAATATCAGTCTATTAAGCTTGCCACCAGCCATTTAGTTGAAAGAAAGGGTAGGCGAGTGTTTTCTTGTAGGTGGTGGCGGCGGCGGCAGCAGCTATCCCTTTGGCTGGCAAGCTGTCTTGTGTGTGTGTGTGCCCTGGCCTGGGATAGGAAATACTATAACTTGACAGAACTCAATGTTCCACATCAAAATGGGTAGCAGACACCTCTATGTTGCTGGTGGAGTTACAAAGCTACAATAAATAACTTCCCATGTTATACACCTACTAGCTGGATGGTTTTCAATGACAGACGACATTGTTCCTTGCTATTTATAGTGCCCACTCCAGCCATGTAGCTCGGTGAGAGAAGCTAGCTAGTAGTTTCCAGGGCATATTTAAATATTTCTGTTAAATATTCTATTATGTATGCAATACAATGTATCCATACTTGTTTTGTTTGTTATGATCACATCTGTAGACTGTGCTAGAAGTTATAAGTAGCCATTGATTAAACATACTTTCTGTACACCCCCTCTACTGCACTCTGCATGCATTTATTTGTATGTGAACTGTAAAATGCCATTTACAATTCTGACCAACAGCAACACTCTCTGTCCGGGGGCCATGGAGACTTGCATATGATATGGATCACACTTTTCTATCTTAGTTAAATATATTGGCAGTGGGCAAAATGCATGCCAGTGAAGAAAACACAGTGTTAGCTCGACATTTGTATCTTTCAACATAGCCTATTCCCTTGAACAAAACTCTTTCTTTTACTCAACTTCTTGGATATGCTTAGCATTTGCAAGAGACCAAGAACTTTGGCCAGACATGAGTTGAGATGGGCATGGTCTCATTTCAACTGACGATGACGAACGAGCACGTGTTTATAAGTTATGTTGCTTTTCAATTACAGAAATAATGGAAGATTCCCATTTCAACTCATCATACTTTTGGTCTCCCGTTCCCACAGTACAAGGACAGGTAGAAACCTTATTACTGGACCTTATCTTGAAATGTACATGGTGGTGTCACAAATAAAGACAATACATTTCAGTTAGCACTAATAAATAATGAGCTTACACCTTAGGTGAGGATGGCAAAACATCAAATTCATTGTAATTCATGTGTAAGTAACAAAACAACAAGCCTCCCCAAATGATCACTTCTGCCCCTCCTCTCTTCCACTTCCCTTATCAACCTCTACCACCTCTACTCATTTCCTTTGGCATCTCACCCATTCTCTCTATTACCTGTCTTTCTCTTTTCCACCCCTCTTTTCCTATCCACCTTTCCCCTCCACTATAGATTGAAAATGCCATGTTCCTGAACAAGATGAAGGAGCAGTTGGGTCCGGACAATAAGTGTTCTCCGTCGTTCCCTCACTCCTCCTCGCACTATCCCACCGCCGTGCTCACCATGGACGCGGGAGGCCGGGTGGTGCCCAAACAGGAAGGTGGAGGCGGTGGCGTCCAATTGAACTCCGTAGGCGGGCACCTGCACCAGCCGCACACCTCACAGAATATCACGGTGGTGCCCATCCAGTCCACCGGCATCATGACGGCAGGTGAGTAGACAAGACAAGACACACTGCCAGTGTCAGTTTGTCTGGCTATCCTCTGTGGTTGTTCTATGTGTATCTCCTCCCTGTTACTGTCTGGCTTAATCATGTTATAGGGATGTCTCGCAAACGTTCTCAGTATTTCATTGTGTGTGTAGTGTGTAATGTGTACCTCGGCTCTCTTGGAGGGGTGTGGTGCAGTCAGGTCACCGTCTCTCTCTCCCTCTCAGCGGGGCTAGTGATAACCACTCCCCAAGGCACCCTGGTCTCTCAACCCACCTCCACACAATCTTTTGTGTCCGGACCCCCTGCCACCACCATGATAGTGTCCGCACTGCACCCCACAAACACAGGTAAAACCTCCACCCCATTCCCCGTTCCCCTCTCCCCCCCGCACTGTGATAGGTTGTGTGCCTGAGCGGCTTGCAAATCTGTCCTGGCTTATTAACAACCATAGCAGACTCACTGGCACACACTTACATACACACATACTGTACATTCATTGGAGCATTAAAAAAATATATTTAATCCCATGGTTGATATGGGCTGACCCTGCAAGGGTACCACCTTCTACAGTCTTTTTTTTTAATCACAAACTTCCATCCTCAACACTCACAGACATGCATTATGCACTCACACACACAGTAAAACACGCATTGCTGCTTGAGCTAACCCCTGCAACGCACTGCCAGCAGCCAACCACTAACCCTTGACCTGATCCAACCCCCCCCACCCTCTGCGGTGAGAGAGAGAGGGAGCGAGCCAGGTAGTGAGCTCCGTGTGTTGAGTGTGTTCTCCTCTTCTCTCGGTTTCTGTCAGAGAGCAGCCAGCACGCCTCTCTCTACTTCTACAGCCACAGTGAGTACTCAGCTCCATCTCCCCTCCACCCTGCCCCACCTAGCCCAATACTTCCTCCCCATATGCCATCATCCATCCCTACTGCTTAGCAGCAAAGCCCTGCAGTCCTGTGGTTTTGTTGTGTTGACTTGCACTCTGAATTGGTATTTGGTATTTTATTAGGATCCCCAATAGCTGTTGCAAAAGCAGCAGCTACTCTTCCTGAGGTCCACACAAAACATGAAACATGACATAATATAGAACATTAATCGACAAGAACAGCTCAAGGACAGAACTACATATATATATACAGTTGAAGTCGGATGTTTACATACACCTTAGCCAAATACATTTAAACTCAGTTTTTCACAATTCCTGACATTTAATCCTACTAAAAATTCCCTGTCTTAGGTCAGTTAGGATCACCACTTTATTTTAAGAATGTGAAATGTCAGAATAATAGTAGAGTGATTTATTTCAGCTTTTATTTCTTTCATCACATTCCCAGTGGGTCAGAAGTTTACATACACTCAATTAGTATTTGGTAGCATTGCCTTTAAATTGTTTAACTTGGGTCAAACATTTCGGGTAGCCTTCCACAAGCTTCCCACAATAAATTGAACCAAAAGGTACGATCTTTGTCCCCATGTGCAGTTGCAAACCGTAGTCTGGCTTTTTTTATGGCGGTTTTGGAGCAGTGGCTTCTTCCTTGCTGAGCGGCCTTTCAGGTTATGTCGATATAGGACTCGTTTTACTGTGGATATAGATAAATTTGTACCGGTTTCCTCCAGCATCTTCACAAGGTCCTTTGCTGTTGTTCTGGGATTGATTTGCACTTTTTGCACCAAAGTACGTTCATCTCTAAGAGATAGAAGGCGTCTCTTCCTGAGCGGTATGACGGCTGCGTGGTCCCATGGTGTTTATACTTGCGTACTATTGTTTGTACAGATGAACGTGGTACCTTCAGGCGTATGGAAATTGCTCCCAAGGATGGACCAGACTTGTGAAGGTCTACAATTCTTTTTCTGAGGTCTTGGCTGATTTCTTTTGATTTTCCCATGATGTCAAGCAAAGAGGCACTGAGTTTGAAGGTAGGCCTTGAAATACATCCACAGGTACACCTCCAATTGACTCAAATGATGTCAATTAGCCTATCAGAAGCTTCTAAAGCCATTACATCATTTTCTGGAATTTTCCAAGCTGTTTAAAGGCACAGTCAACTTAGTGTATGTAAACTTCTGACCCACTGGCATTGTGATACAGTGAATTATAAGTGAAATAATCTGTCTGTAAACAATTGTTGGAAAAATTACTTGTGTCATGCACAAAGTAGATGTCCTAACCGACTTGCCAAAACTATAGTTTGTTAACAAGACATTTGAGTGGTTGAAAAACAAGTTTTAGTGACTCCAACCTAAGTGTATGTAAACTTCCGACTTCAACTGTATATACAGTGGGGAGAACAAGTATTTGATACACTGCCGATTTTGCAGGTTTTCCTACTTACAAAGCATGTAGAGGTCTGTAATTTTTATCATAGGTACACTTCAACTGTGAGAGACGGAATCTATACATCAGAAAACCAGAACTTAATATTTGGTACAGAAACCTTTGTTTGCAATTACAGAGATCATATGTTTCCTGTAGTTCTTGACCAGGTTTGCACACACTGCAGCAGGGATTTTGGCCCACTTCTCCATACAGACCTTCTCCAGATCCTTCAGGTTTCGGGGCTGTCGCTGGGCAATACGGACTTTCAGCTCCCTCCAAAGATTTTCTATTGGATTCAGGTCTGGAGACTGGCTAGGCCACTCCAGGACCTTGAGATGCTTCTTACGGAGCCACTCCTTAGTTGCCCTGGCTGTGTGTTTCGGGTCGTTGTCATGCTGGAAGACCCAGCCACGACCCATCTTCAATGCTCTTACTGAGGGAAGGAGGTTGTTTGCCAAGATCTCGCGATACATGGCCCCATCCATCCTCCCCTCAATATGGTGCAGTCGTCCTGTCCCCTTTGCAGAAAAGCATCCCCAAAGAATGATGTTTCCACCTCCATGCTTCACGGTTGGGATGGTGCTCTTGGGGTTGTACTCATCCTTCTTCTTCCTCCAAACACGGCGAGTGGAGTTTAGACCAAAAAGCTTTATTTTTGTCTCATCAGACCACATTACCTTCTCCCATTCCTCCTCTGGATCATCCAGATGGTCATTGGCAAACTTCAGACGGGCCTGGACATGCGCTGGCTTGAGCAGGGGGACCTTGCGTGCGCTGCAGGATTTTAATCCATGACGGCGTAGTATGTTACTAATGGTTTTCTTTGAGACTGTGGTCCCAGCTCTCTTCAGGTCATTGACCAGGTCCTGCCGTGTAGTTCTGGGCTGATCCCTCACCTTCCTCATGATCATTGATGCCCCACGAGGTGAGATCTTGCATGGAGCCCCAGACCGAGGGTGATTGACCGTCATCTTGAACTTCTTCCATTTTCTAATAATTGCGCCAACAGTTGTTGCCTTCTCACCAAGCTGCTTGCCTATTGTCCTGTAGCCCATCCCAGCCTTGTGCAGGTCTACAATTTTATCCCTGATGTCCTTACACAGCTCTCTGGTCTTGGCCATTGTGGAGAGGTTGGAGTCTGTTTGATTGAGTGTGTGGACAGGTGTCTTTTATACAGGGAACGAGTTCAAACAGGTGCAGTTAATACAGGTAATGAGTGGAGAACAGGAGGGCTTCTTAAAGAAAAACTAACAGGTCTGTGAGAGACGGAATTCTTACTGGTTGGTAGGTGATCAAATACTTATGTCATGCAATAAAATGCAAATAAATTATTAAAAAATCATACAATGTGATTTTCTGGATTTTTGTTTTAGATTCCGTCTCACAGTTGAAGTGTACCTATGATAAAAATTACAGACCTCTACATGCTTTGTAAGTAGGAAAACCTGCAAAATCGGCAGCGTATCAAATACTTGTTCTCCCCACTGTATATATATATATACACTACCGTTCAAAAGTTTGGGGTCACTTAGAAATGTCCTTGTTTTCAAAAGAAAATCAATTTTTTTTTTTTTCCATTAAAATAACATCAAATTGATCAGAAATACAGTGTAGACATTGTTAATGTTGTAAATGGCTATTGTAGCTGGAAACGGCAGATTTTTTTATGGAATATCTACATAGGCTTACAGAGGCCCATTATCAGCAACCATCAGTCCTGTGTTCCAATGGCACGTTGTGTTTGCTAATCCAAGTTTATCATTTTAAAAGGCTAATTGATCATTAGAAAACACTTTTGCAATTATGTTAGCACAGCTGAAAACTGTTGTGCTGATTAAAGAAGCAAAAAAACTGGCCTTCTTGAGACTAGTTGAGTATCTGGAGCATCAGCAATTGTGGGTTCGATTACAGGCTCAAAATGTCCAGAAACAAATAACTTTCTTCTGAAACTCGTCAGTCTATTCTTGTTCTGAGAAATGAAGGCTATTCCATGCGAGAAATTGCCAAGAAACTGAAGATCTCGTACAACGCTGTGTACTACTCCCTTCACAGAACAGCGCAAACTGGCTCTAACCAGAATAGAAAGAGGAGTTAAATAGTACCCGCAAAACACCAGTCTCAACGTCAACAGTGAAGAGGCGACTCCGGGATGCTGACCTTCTAGGCAGAGTTGCAAAGAAAAAGCCATATCTCAACTGGTCAATAAAAATAAAAGATTAAGATGGGCAAAAGAACACAGACGCTGGACAGAGGAAGATTGGAAAAAAGTGTTATGGACAGACGAATCGAAGTTTGAGGTGTTCGGATCACAAAAAAGAACATTTGTGAGAATAAATGTGCGGCCCACCATGTAAAAAAAAAAAAAAGGTGATGTAATCAACGGCCAATGTTTACTTTCTTGGTGCTATGACAGTCTATAACAAATCAGTCTGACAGTACTTTTGACAGTATTTCAATCTGAAGGAAGTATGGTTTGAAGTGACTGAAATGCATCAGAAAGGTATTGGGAAGTTCAGAAGATCATCAGGCAATAATTTTGTATGATCTTCTGTGTAGAAAAGAACATAATCATTGATGAAGTTGATGAAGTCTGATTTAGTGCCTGGTCTTGTCCACTCTATTTGAATGAGTCCTGCGCGGCTTGTGGGCATTGTAGAGGGAAACAGAAGACACTTATGTTTTCCTGAGTCTTATGTTTCAGTGATGGGGTCATAATATGTTGTAGCTTAAACCGTTTTTAAAGATAACGCCACAATTGTAGGAAGAAAACAGAAACCGCTCTGTTTATTACGTCCGCGTCTAGCGGCTACCGGAGGTTACGGTTCTGTGAACCGAGCGTACATCTTTTATTTCAGAGTTTCTTTCGCCATGCCATTTTCAAATCAGGCGTCCCCACATGGGGTCACGACCCCCTAGTTTGGGAAACGCTGCTGTAAGGCCTGTTATAAGCTGCAAACAACATTTATTCAAACGTGCAGGATGCTTGGATGTAATGTTTTACTGGACTTAAGCTCACACTATACATCGCACAACATATTATGAAGATGATCAGATCTGGAAAGTGTTGATGGTCCAGTAGAGTTGTCTAAGTAAGGCCAAGACTCCAAAAACCCAATCTGAAAGTCTAAGAATATGATCTGATGCACCCCCACTAATGGTCCAAGGAAGTTATCTAGAGGACCAATGGAGTGATCTGGAGTACGCCGCCATGTTCTCTGGTGGTGCAATTCCATCCATGAATGTGATCATCCAAAGGTTGATGAAAATCAATGTCTTGGATTAATGTCCAAAACATATCAACTACAGTATCTGCCCCATTCAAAAAGCAAAATCAATTTAGTTTAGTTTTGTATCTGTGCACGCTGTCCAAATAGGCAGTTGAGTGTAACCGATTATTTTTGCAGCGATGAAGTCTGTCATGTGTTCCAGTATATGGGTGAAGAGATGAAAATGCCTCAGTGTAATGGGGTGATGTACCACTCACACGTTGTTGCTTTCACCATTGCATACCAGGAGACACCGCTTTGGATGATACTCACCAAGCAGAGGCCCATGGGATATGTTGTGTGGTTTTTGGTCTGTTTTAATCAGAGCTGTATTCTTCTCCCCCGTTCTCTCCCCTTCCCTTCATCCCTCCTTTCCCCATCCTGTTTTTTTGTCCCTGTTTCAGACAAGAAAGAGGATTTGGTCATCCCTCCTGTTGTCATGCCAACGCCCGGGAAGCGGGGCAGGAAGAAGAAGTCGATGATGCCGAGGGCGGGCGCCACCCTCCCCCCAGGAAGTGATGCGTTGATTCTGGCACACCTGGCTGCTGGGGGGCAGGTGATTGAGATTTGAAGTGATGTCACATAATAACTAAGCCGCTACAGATGTTATGTTGAGTATTATGTTGTGTTTAATCCAATCCATAATGATAAAATACATTAAGGCTACATATTGTTGTGTCATTATTTCAGGAATAGTGAAGCAAAGTGTTGTTTATTAAATAAATCATTGTTTCGTTTTTGTGTATAGCACCACACTGCCGACCATTATGACTTATCAAATGATGAGGATGAGCATGGGAACAAAGATGGGACCAAATCATACAGGTATATTAGAGGCTTTGTGCTTACATACTTTTTACTCCTTAACTTTCACTATTTGTTACCCAAGTTGACCCTGTCATTTATTCCCCATTCAAAGTATCTCCATGTCTATACAGTTCTCAGTTTCTCTTGTTCTCTCTCCATTTCCACCACTTGCCATTCTCTCTTACCCCTCTTCCAGGTGCCGGATGTGTGCGGTGACGTTCTTCAGCAAGTCGGACATGCAGATCCACGCCAAGTCTCACACAGAGGCCAAGCCACACAAGTGCCCCCACTGCTCCAAATCGTTCGCCAACTCCAGTTACCTGTCCCAGCACATCCGCATCCACAGTGGGTCCAAGCCCTACACCTGCTCCTACTGCCAGAAAACATTCAGGCAGCTCAGTCACTTACAGCAGCACACACGGTACTGCTGCCTCCCTGGCGTGTATGTGTGTGAGTGTGTGTGGTGGTTGATTTCAGGGAATAGGTGTTTGACTGCAGAATATAGATTGTCACACAAGAATGAAGGGTTGGTAGGAAAGACAATCACTATCACTACAAATTCAGGGATTGATACCAATGTACTTTTCTCATCATTTGGCTTTGAATTTGACCATTACAATATGAGTAACTACTCTGCATTAGAAACATGGGGTTTTATTTTGGCAATGCAAATAATACAGTATTACTCCCAATAATACTTTTACAAAAATGTCTTATTGTACTTCATCTATGACAGCAGGTTTAGAATAAACAAGCCCGATATTTCTATTTCTGGTGAGGTGTGACAAAGCAGCACCACCCTTTTTTCACTGTCGAAATGTCACAGCTTTTATAAGGAGCATGTGTGCTGTTTGAAATGTTTTTTCTTGCCAAATTGCTTTTTGCCAACTTTGATGAAATCGTTCAGTTATGTCCTTGTATCTGTTGATTGCTTTGCCTGTACCCTCTTCATTTTGTGTTGTCCATCTTTTCTTCCTATCGCATCCTTATCCCTCATTTTACTTTTCTGACTGTCTGCTTTCCTGCTCTCTGTTCCACATGTTCACTTACATGCAAACAGACAAGCAGGAACATACGGAAGACAGTGATACAGTATATAACCATTACCAGAGACGTAGACGAAGAATTTTACGACACAACATTCAGTGCTAGGTTAAAAACAAATTGTGTAGAGGAGGTCAAAAAAGTGTAATACAGATTGAGTGCCTTGGTTGTATTTACATTTTAAGTTTATCTTATCTTTATGCGTTGTTTGCTATCTTGGAGGCTGTTTTTATGTGTGGTTTGCAGATTTCTTTGGGAAAGAAAGTTTCTTATGTTATTGGCAAACAACCTGAGAAAGTAGTTTTTATGTGTTTGGTAAACTAGACATAATAGAGGTCCAAGAATCGATCCCTGTGGAACACCACATTTAATCTGAAGAGGGGGTTAACTTCTTTGAAAGTGACAGATTGCATTCTTCCTTTTAGATAGCTGGAGAAACACAGCAAAGACAAATAAGTCACGTCCATCCTTGGGGAAAGGATGTAATTTTGGGTAAACTATCCCTGAAACAGCATCATAATGTAAAAAAAATTCTGTCAGACAAATAATATGGCTCTATCTACATTTACCTATCAAAGACTACATCTTTCCATATTGATTTCTTCCTTTTCTTTCGCTGCCTTTCCCTGACACTATCAGTTCTATCTGTGCACCATCTCTTCAACCAGTCTTTGGTTTCTTGAATGTTTATGAGGAATTCAATAAAATACTTTTCCCTTCCTCCCACCCTCACCGTTCTGGTAGAATGAAGTGCTCCCTTTGCCTTCTCTATTACATTTCCTCCCTCACATGCCCCTCACAATTCTTTGCCTTTGGTTTCAAGAGAAAGACGAGCGCTTGCCTTCACTCAAATTCCTTAGCAGTAGGCCTCTGTAGAATTACCACACAATATCGGTAGCACACCATAGGTGGAGACAGAGAGAGAGAGAGAGAGAGAGAAAGGAAAGGGGGACTGTGCCTGCTGTTTGTTTTCGTACTGTGTTTCGCAACTCCGACACAGCAACAACAAAAAGTGCACACTGTCAATCAAACTGCGCTAAACTTGATTTGGGGTGATTTGATTATGATTTGATCTCCGGATCATTCGTCGCTGATTTTATATATTATAAATCTCTCTTTTTTTCTCTCTCTATCTCCCCATCCCCTTGTTAGAAACCACACTGAGGGCAAACCGCACAAGTGTCCCCACTGCTCCAAATCGTTCTCCAACTCCAGCTACCTGGCCCAGCACATCCGCATCCACAGTGGGTCCAAGCCCTACACCTGCTCCTTCTGCCAGAAAACATTCAGGCAGCTCAGTCACTTACAGCAGCACCACAGGTAAACATTACTAAACAGGGACAGTGGGCAGTCATGTCATCACACACCCTCTCTAGTTCCATCTACTCCTCTTTTTCTGCTTTCCTCTCACTTTCCTTCTCCCTCGTTGTCTCTCATCCTCTTATCTTCTTGCTCAATTTCAAAACAACCCTAATCCCCAAATACTTATTTAATAAAGCGTTTAGCATATATTGATGTAATTAGAAGTCTCATTCAAGTTTGGCTACATTTTCTGGCTCCTCCCTCATGTCAGCATCGGTTTGGACCTGAGGCTGTAGCCAATATGCATATCCCCTACACTTTGACATCTGAAAGGACTGGTTGGATTTACCAGTAAGCAATATGGTGGAAACTATCTGAGGGGCCGTCAAGAAAGACCATTGGATAGTGTGGTTGATTTAGGATTGGATATCTCTCTTTCCGTCTTTCCTGTCCGTTGCTTGGAGTGAGTGACGCTGTAATGAAAGTAGTCAGGCTACTGGGGTTTTCTGGGAGCTGTAGTTCATTACAGACTGTGTTTCACTTCCATAGGATCCACACTGGGGACCGACCTTACAAGTGTATCCATCCTGGCTGCGAGAAAGCATTCACTCAGCTGTCCAACTTACAGGTAGGCAGGCCTTCTACATCCAATTCACAAGTCCAATAGATCTCAAATTTGGACAATAATCATCTCAATTTCAATATATTTGGTTGTAAGTTTCTCATAGCAAAACTTCACTTGGCTCTAAATTCATTACGTACAGTTAATGATATGACATGATAACGTTATAGTCACAATAATCATAATGTATAAACTCTTTCATTGCTTCCCCCAGTCTCACCGCCGGCAGCACAACAAAGACAAGCCGTATAAGTGCCACAACTGTAACCGCGGTTATACAGACGCGGCCAGTCTGGAGGTGCACATGTCCACTCACACGGTCAAACATGCCAAGCTTTACTCCTGTGGCCTGTGCAACCGCGCCTACACCTCGGTACGCCTGTCAATCACCCTAAAACTCCTCCTCTACCTCCTCCTCAACTACATAAAGTCCCACCCCTTTTAAAAGAGTTCCACACGCTTTTACTTTCTAGATTCAAGGCCTCCCCACTTGTGAGGGGCCTGTTGTATGAAAGTGGTGTTCAGCAATGTCATATTGTAGGGGAGGGGCTAGAGCATTGTGAGGGTGGAGACTAATTCATTGTATGTACTTCTTTCAGTAACTGCAGTATTAGATTACTTGAAGGACTACTTCAGGTTGTTGTAAGTTGGTTGGTAGTGACAAAAGTTAAACAACCAGTAGAACAGTAGATTAACAAGTACACGCAGTAGTTTGGCTTGATGGTGACCTATAGGGTTGTATAGGACTGTATAGGTAGGCTTTGGCTATGTAGTTAAAAACAGTTATCCCCCCTCTACTGTAGTTTATATACGCTAGGCCTATATTATTTCCAGTAATTTGCATAGACTACATATTACTGAGTTTGTATGTAGGTGCTGCCAAGCCCTTGCATTTTGTTCCCAAGACCCACTGCATGGTAAGTGTTCACTGCACTGTCCACCTCACTCACCCTCTTTCTCTCCTCTCCTCTCCTCTCCTCCAGGAGACCTACCTGATGAAACACATGCGGAAACACAACCCGGATTCCCTCACGGTGGCGGTCGCCGCCCAGCAGGCCCAGGGCCACACCCCTGGAGGAGGGGGCAGGGGGAGGGGCCGTGGTAGAGGAGGAGGCGGGGCAAATGCAGTGGGTGGTCCTGTAGGGGCAGGCCAGAACCCGGGTCAGAACCAGCCCCAGAACCCCAACAACCCCCAGCAGGGCAGCTACCCGCAGATAGAAGGCGTGCCATGCCCCTTCGACATGCACCAGTACAAGACAGTGTCGGCCGGCGAGATCCAGTACAAGCCAGTCAGCGTGGCTGATCTGTCGGCCCATAAGGACCTCTGCTTGACCGTGTCCACCTCAGCCATCCAGGTGGAGCACATGAACTCATAGAGCGGGAGGATGGACAGAGGGGAGGAGAGGAGGTTGGACAGAGCAGAAGATGGACAGAATGGAGAGGGAAGAAGTGGAGGCTGGTGTCACTTTAAATGGGAGGATGGGCTCCTTGTAATGGCTGGAATGGAACAGTGTCAAACACATTGAATGTTTTTGATTCCAGCTATTTCAATGAGGCCGTCCTCCGATTTCTTCTCCCACCAGCCTCCACTGGGAGGGAGAAAGGACTAAGTAAAAACTACACTGCCTTGGGGTTGGCGAAGGAATGGATGGAAGAATGAGGTTTGGTGATGTAAGACCCAATCAGAGAATAAGGAAAGGAGGGTATGAAGAGGAAACCTGAGATGAAGAGGAAGTATGGGATATGTAGTCCAGTATTGAGTGAAGAGATGATATATGAATGGTTCAAAGAATGCACTTAAAGGAGAAGAGATTAGAAAAGGGGGGGCTGATATATAGAAGGCACTTGATCAATCTTGTATTTTTTCCTCTCAGTTTCTCATCGTTTCATTTATTAGTTGTATGTATATTATCATATGTATGTATTTTTCTACCAACAGTGGAATGTGTTAACGAACGGCGTTTGAAAGTAAAAAGATTGTGCAAGGAAAGTGAGTGAGAAGAAACATCTAGAAACAGAGCAGATTTTGTATTTAAGAATGATAATTTTCTATATTCCCAACTCATTCTTGCAAAGCAAGGGGTGCGGGGGATAAAGGTGGATTGTCTTGAAACAATGAATTGGCTGTCAGGTACTTATAACGAGTTGTTGTTGTTTTTTAAAACCTTTCATACGGAATATTACTACCTTCGTTATTATTATAGTACGCAACTATCAATGTTATCCTCATTATTATCCATTGGAAGATACTGTAATCTATGTAGATATATATAGAAATGAGTTTTCATTCAAAAAAAGGGAATGATGTACTGCCTCTAAAGTAAACTAGAGATCTAAATGCATATGAAAAAGAAAACAAAATAACTTAAAAAGTAATGAATCGTTGACCCGTCCAATCACAGAGCTCTATTCTGCTCTGTATTTATTGAGCTGGCTCGTGATTGGCCGGTGATCTTATTTATACTCCTTGTACTTCATTGTGTCTTTTGAAATAACAGTTCTCAATATTCGTATTGTTATCGCTCCTAATGCCGTTATTAACTACCCTTATGCTACACTCGCTGTATATGCACAGTACACATTCATATGAACAGACTGTTTCTCCATGTAAGGACAATAAAGTGAGACAGTCGGAGATGACAAGCTTGCTGTCCGATTCTCCTTTTCCTGCATGCAGACATGCTGTGGACAGTCAGTTTGAAGGTATTGTATCAATGTACAGTACATAGGTAAATGATACATTGAAATAATATAAAATACTGTGTTCGCTAGGTGATTGTGTTTGGGACACTAATTTGCCGTACCCTGTGCCATGCCCATTTCACAACCTTCCTACACACACACACACCAAAGAAGACAAGGGAAGACGAGGGTTGTGGTTTTGGAATCAAAGGAATTATGTATTTGATATAGTTTAAGGGTATATGTTTCCTACAAAATACAAATGTCTAAGGTTCTTCATGACACCAGTGCACAGCAATTTGAAAATAATACATAGTAAAACAAAGTAAACAACACACTATTCTAATATAACTCAAAGAAAATGAAACCAGTCCTGGATACAATCTACTTGCCATGGAATTCATCCTATTCTTTTCATTAAATGAATAGTAAGTAACTTTTTCACAAGCTTTGTTTGGTTTTCACTGAAACATGCCATTTAAGAATATATAATAAGCAACTATTGGTATTATTTATTGGCAAAACAAGGGACATCCATGAAAGTAGATTATGTCCTGGTTAAAGTAAGATACAACACAGGAAACAGGGTAGCATTGTGTTAGTAAGGATAAGGAGGTTTGATTACACTGGTCTTATGATGCAACTGAAGGTAACCCTTTTTGACAAAGCCAGGCCAAGACGCTGAGCTCAGAAGGTTCTTAATAAAGTATGATACATGTGACAACTTGACATAAAAAGCTGATTTTAGATATGATTTTCTTATCTTTGAGTACAGTGTAAAATGTTTCAAGCTAAATTGAACACACATCTTAAAATACTTCACTAAACGGGTACTGTAGAGGCATTTCTACAGTAATTACAACATCTAAAATATCCCTTATTTTGATGCTTTGGCCATATTTGGAACCTCTGGTTCTGTCCCTGGTTTGGTTACTTATGCCTTCAGGCTCCTGACAAATTCCATCGAAAAAAGCACACTTAAATATAACAATCACATGCATGATTTCGTGTTTCACATAAATATATACGACAAAAAAAATCTATGAAATTAAATATACAATTCAATACATTTCAGACTATTCAGTGAAATGTCATCAGTACATAAGACGGGATCTTGTGTGGCGATGATGAGGTAGAGGGTGAAAGTGTGTGGGGATAAGGCAAGTTAATTGTCAGCCTCACTTCCTATACTGAATCAGTCAGCTCACTAGACCCTACAATGCCATGAGACACACAGGGCTAGCAAGCTATGCTTTCTGAATGATTTCCATTGAACATACTGATCTGAGGCAATGATTGAATGATAAGATAAGATAGTACTTTATTAATCATCCAGAGGGGAAATTTGATTGCACCAGCCAATACATACAGTGATGAGGAATGACCACTTGCCTTTCCTCTGGTGAAATGCAATGTCATGAAATACACTGAGTATACAAAACATTAGGAACACCTGCTCTTTCCATGACATAGACTGACCAGGTGATTCCAGGTGAAAGCTATGATCCCTTATTGATGTCACTTGTTAAATCCACTTCAAACAGTGTAGATGAAGGGGAGGAGACTGGTTAAAGAAGGATTTTTAAGTCTTGAGACAATTGAGCCATGGATTGTATATGTGTGCCATTCAGAGGGTGAATGAGCAAGACAAAACATTTAAGTGCCTTTGAACAGGGTATGGTAGTAGGTGCACCGGTTTGTGTCAAGAACTGCAACGCTGCTGGGTTTTTCACACTCAACAGTTTCCTGTGTGTATCAAGAATGATCCACCACCCAAAGGACATCCAGCCAACTTGACACAACTGTGGGAAGCATTGGAGTCAACATGGGCCAGCATCCCTGTGGAACGCTTTCAACAACTCGTAGAGTCCATTCCCCGATGAATTGAGACTGTTCTGAGGGCAGAAGTGGGTGTATACTCAGTGTATGTGCCATGTACTCAATACTTGTATGTCGTGCTATGATGTCCATTAGTAGTTATGTTCATTACTAGTACAATACGACACAGCTAGCTTTAGTTTGGGCTGCAAAAGGTTCTCAAAAAGAGAAAAAACCTGCTTTCAGAATTAATTATTTTTACATGACACCTCCTCTCTTTCTACTTCTGATGACAATCAACATTTTTCTAACAGAAAATTCCTCCCTTTATTATTAATTTTCACAGCTACTATTCCAGTTGCTCTGAGGACCACCTTAACAATAACGTAGCTTCAATGCTAACAGTACATCTCAATGAACATAAATAGTACAGCTTGACATTATGTCGTGTTAGGCAGTGCAATAATTCCATGATTATAACATCATATTACCATTTTGACAGCTATAACCGAGTAGTAAACCAGTCCCCTAGCACTCTGGACTAAAGTAATGCAAGTCACATTTGTGAGAACTGCTACATAATCTTGACTAAAAGGTCCTTTCTAATGACTATTGATTAAATAGGATAATTCAGTGTGAGAGACGCAGAAAATACAATGAAAACATCTTCAAAAACACGCCAGTTACGTGTCGTAACAGTGAAAGTAGACACACATCAATGGGAAAGCACACATTTTGCAGATAGAAATCCATAGAAAATAATAATATACTGAGTTGCCTGGCCTATTCACACTACTCCCAAGAGCCTTTGCAGGTATAGATTAGAATATTGGATACTTTGAATGGTTAATATTTTTTACATTCATTGTTACTTAAACTTAGTATCAACAGAGCCATGACGTTTTCTCTTAACCAAATACATTTTGTCAGACTAAAACGACAACCAGTAATATTAAAAACAATGAAACACGGATTTGGTCAGGACACCTTTGCTTCTGATGAATAAGACTGAATGCTGCGAATGAGAATACTGACTGGAGGTTGATTGCGCGTTTGCATTGAACTCGCCAGTTAAGATGCACTTAGGGTTTGGCAGCAAGGCAGTGGACACAGGCAGTTATAAAGGAGGGAATCAAGGGCCAAATATACACACAGAGTGACAAGGCATTCCAATAGAAAACGGGTTAGAGGTGAAAGGTGAGATATGCAGAGAAAGCGATATTAAGACACATGGAAAGAAGGGGGGATTGATAGAAGTTGTTGGTAATAACATACTTGAGGAGAGGCTGTGATAGTAGACAAATATGCAGACACTATAGCCAGGCAGGGGTATGACCGGTCTGCCTGAGCCAGGCAGGGGTGTGATGATAGGTCTGCCTGAGCACCGGAGCCTCTCCTCAGCCCACACGAGTTGTCACCTAGAGAATGGATGGACAGGTCGAGAGAGAGGGAGATGGCGAGCGATACAGAGAGCGAGAGGGTGGGGGGGTGGGAGATTTGGAGAAAGAGAGAAAATGAAGGAGCAAGGATTCACAAAGTAGGATCAGTGAGTTAGCCAACTAGGTTTACTAACATTACAAACCTGAAATTTGCATGGAATACTATCTTGTACTCAAAACTTACGATGACCCATATTGACCTTTAGCATTCTTCATAAACCGTCAAATGAAGAGTTATACATGTACATGCGTGTTTGTCACAGTTATCTGGCAAGTTATTCATATATCCTATTCTGTGAAATATAACTCTAGAGCGTTGGGCCAGTAACCAAAAGGTCGCTGGTTCGAATACCCGAGCAGACAAAGTGAAACATTTGTTGATGTGCCCTTGAGCAAGGCACTTAACCCCAATTTGCTCCAGGGACGCTGTACTACTATGGTTAACCCTGTAAAATAACACATTTCACTGCACCTATTCCGGTATATGTAACAATAAAACATTATTATTGTAACTTTTGGAGGTAACCACTGGTATAATTAATTGGAGACCTACTGAGAATGTTGTTATGCAGACATATAACAGTAATCTAGTTATATAATACATCACACACATCGTTGGTTATGCTGTCTCACCTGTGAGATGTTGACTCCGGTCAGTTTCTCCACAGCCGCTGGAAGGCGGGTCATGATGTCTAGCACCTCCCCTGTGAGCTTGGCCACGCCCACCTCGGCGCCGCCGCTGGAAATCATGGTGATCTTCTGAGCCTGCGCCAGAGGCCTGCTGATCTCTTCCGCCATCTAGAGGAGGGCAGAGGAACATATGAGAGGTGTTCGTCCAGTTTCTATGCCCAAAAACTCACCCAGTGACGAGTGATCACCCAATTATGTGTACTAACTAACATACAAATCTTCTATTCAATGCATGATTTACGCGATTTTTAAACGCGCACTTCTCAAATTAGGATTCCGCTCTAAGTGTGTATTTGAGCTCTATCTCTTTGAAGGTGTTCTCACCAGTGGTAGTTGCTCCAGCAGCATGTCCACCATGGCTCCCTCCTTGTACTGCTGGAAGGCTTCGGCCTTCTTGGCCATCTGCTCCGCCTCGGCTCTCCCCTTCGCCTCCACAGCAAAGGCCTCCGCATCTCCCTTAATCTGAGAGAGAATATTTTTTGGTTTGTTCTTTTTTTGTTATGACGGTCATATTATGTTGTTACAGCTTCCTTGGGTGTAACTTATTGTAATTTAACTGCAATTTTTAGTAGTATTGATTCAACAAGCAAAATGACTTCAGTGTGGTAAACATAGACTTCTCCTATTACCATTAAAGTGCTCTCTGCTCAAACGAGTCACAGACAATAATTATCTGCTTTTAGGGGTAAAACATGCTTGGAACAGTAACAATCCTATACTAACAATGTACTTTTGTTTTCAGAATCCATCTGGAACAATGTGATGCTCACTCACCCTAATGGACTCTGCCTCAGCCTCTGCCTCCATGATGAGCTGTGCACTGTCGGAAGAGAAACATATTTATTTTATCTCATACACCTTAGTTGGCCAGTGAGGTATACACTATGGATATAGTACATATTACATATTTAGTATAGTTTGTATATGTGTTTTTTTGTCTGTCTCATACTCCATGGAACGCATTAATATCTAGTATATTTTCATTGTCTATGCAATACATTTTTCACAAAATACAATATATAATTTGTGAAAGGTCATTTGGAGACCTGTGGCTGTTACTCACCGCTGGGCCTCGGCCAGCTTCTCCAGGCGGTATCTCTCTGCCTCAGCAGGCTTCTTGACCTTTGCCTCCAGCTCCTTCTCCTTGCGGGTGATCTCCTGCTCCTGGAGCATGATCTGCTGAGAGCGCTCCACCACCTGGACCTGCATCTTCTCCTCCTCAATGCGCTGCTTGGTCTTGGCCACCTGACGGGTTAAAATGGTAACACCAAGATCTCAGTAGTACTCTTTATGACTATTTTTAAGAGGTTATGTTTTCCTCTATATTTTTGTGTTATTCTGTGTTTTACTTTTTGTTGCTTTGTTTCAATTGGTTTAGTGAGCTGCTTTCTATATGTTGTGATTTTGAGAACAAACAAATAACGAGATTGGGTGTGCTATACAATACATCCATGTCTTAGTGTAATATCATGGACATACCTGTAACTGGTAGGCCATCTCAGACTCTGCCTTCTTGGTGTTGACCTCGATGTCATAGGATGCTTTCTTCAGCTCATAGTCCCTCTGAGCCTTAGCCATCTGGATCTCATTGACATACTGGGCTGAGATCTTCTCCTGCATGGCATGGGCCTCCTACAGAGAGGGAGCGACACACAGAAAGTGTAAAAAAGAAACAAGAGGAGATTGGAAAAGGAAAGGTTGAGATGGAGTACGAGGAAAGAGAAAAGTAATGTATATGTATGTATGTAGTGCCTTGCAAAAGTATTCATCCCCCTTGGTGTTTTTCCTATTTTGTTGCATTACAACCTGTAATTTAAATGGATTTTTATTTTGGATTTCATGTAATGGACATACACAAAATAGTCAACATTTGTGAAGTGAAATGAAAAAAATAACTTGTTTCAAAAAAGTATAAAAAATAAATAACGGAAAAGTGGTGCGTGCATATGTATTCACCCCCTTTGCTATGAAGCCCCTAAATAAGATCTGGTTCAACCAATTACCTTTAGAAGTCACATAATTAGTTAAATAAAGTCCACCTGTGTGCAATCTAAGTGTCACATGATCTCAGTATATATACACCTGTTCTGAAAGGCCCCAGAATCTGAAACACCACTAAGCAAGGGGCACCACCAAGCAAGCGGCACCATGAAGACCAAGGAGCTCTCCAAACAGGTCAGGGACAAAGTTGTGGAGAAGTACAGATCAGGGTTGGGTTATAAAAAAATATACGAAACTTTGAACATCCCACAGAGCACCATTAATTCCATTATTAAAAAATGGAAAGAATATGGCACCACAATAAACCTGCCAAGAAAGGGCCGCCCACCAAAACTCACTGACCAGGCAAGGAGGGCATTAATCAGAGAGGCAACAAAGAGACCAAAGATAACCCTGAAGGAGCTGCAAAGCTCCACAGCAGAGATTGGAGTTTCTGTCCATAGGACCACTTTAAGCCGTACACTCCACAGAGCTGGGCTTTATGGAAGAGTGGCCAGAAAAAAATCTTTTTTTTTTTCCACCTTTATTTAACCAGGTAAGCCAGTTGAGAACAAGTTCTCATTTACAACTGCGACCTGGCCAAGATAAGGCAAAGCAGTGCGATAAAAACAACAACACAGAGTTACATATGGGGTAAAATAAAACAAAGTAAAAAATACAACAGAAAAAATATATATACAGTGTGTGCAAATGTAGCAAGTTATGGAGGTAAGGCAATAAATAGGCTATAGTGCAAAATAATTACAATTAGTATTAACACTGGAATGATAGATGTGCAAGAGATAATGTGCAAATAGAGATACTGGGGTGCAAATTAGCAAAATACAGTGGGGAAAAAAAGTATTTAGTCAGCCACTAATTGTGCAAGTTCTCCCACTTAAAAAGATGAGAGAGGCCTGTAATTTTCATCATAGGTACACGTCAACTATGACAGACAAATTGAGAGAAAAAAAATCCAGAAAATCACATTGTAGGATTTTTAATTAATTTATTTGCAAATTATGTTGTAAAATAAGTATTTGGTCACCTACAAACAAGCAAGATTTCTGGCTCTCACAGACCTGTAACTTCTTCTTTAAGAGGCTCCTCTGTCCTCCACTCGTTACCTGTATTAATGGCACCTGTTTGAACTTGTTATCAGTATAAAAGACACCTGTCCACAACCTCAAACTGTCACACTCCAAACTCCACTATGGCCAAGACCAAAGAGCTGTCAAAGGACACCAGAAACAACATTGTAGACCTGCACCAGGCTGGGAAGACTGAATCTGCAATAGGTAAGCAGCTTGGTTTGAAGAAATCAACTGTGGGAGCAATTATTAGGAAATGGAAGACATACAAGACCACTGATAATCTCCCTCGATCTGGGGCTCCACGCAAGATCTCACCCCGTGGGGTCAAAATGATCACAAGAACGTTGAGCAAAAATCCCTGAACCACACGGGGGGACCTAGTGAATGACCTGCAGAGAGCTGGGACCAAAGTAACAAAGCCTACCATCAGTAACACACTACGCCGCCAGGGACTCAAATCCTGCAGTGCAAGACTTGTCCCCCTGCTTAAGCCAGTACATGTCCAGGCCCGTCTGAAGTTTGCTAGAGCGCATTTGGATGATCCAGAAGAGGATTGGGAGAATGTCATATGGTCAGATGAAACCAAAATAGAACCTTTTGGTAAAAACTCAACTCGTCGTGTTTGGAGGACAAAGAATGCTGAGTTGCATCCAAAGAAGCCATACCTACCGTGGCCTAGCCAGTCTCCAGATCTCAACCCCATAGAAAATCTTTGGAGGGAGTTGAAAGTCCGTGTTGCCCAGTGACAGCCCCAAAACATCACTGCTCTAGAGGAGATCTGCATGGAGGAATGGGCCAAAATACCAGCAACAGTGTGTGAAAACCTTGTGAAGACTTACAGAAAACGTTTCACCTGTGTCATTGCCAACAAAGGGTATATAACAAAGTATTGAGAAACTTTTGTTATTGACCAAATACTTATTTTCCACCATAATTTGCAAATAAATTCATTAAAAATCCTACAATGTGATTCTCTGGAATTTTTTTTCTCATTTTGTCTGTCATAGTTGACGTGTACCTATGATGAAAATTACAGGCCTCTCTCATCTTTTTAAGTGGGAGAACTTGCACAATTGGTGGCTGACTAAATACTTTTTTTCCCCACTGTAAATAACAATATAGGGATGAGGTAGTTGGGCGGGCTAATTTCAGATGGGCTGTGTACAGGTGCAGTGATCGGTAAGGTGCTCTGACAACTGATGCTTAAAGTTAGTGAGGGAGATAAGTGTCTCCAGCTTCAGAGATTTTTGCAATTTGTTCCAGTCATTGGCAGCAGAGAACTGGAAGGAATGGCGGCCAAAGGAGGTGTTGGCTTTGGGGATGACCAGTGAGATATACCTGCTGGAGCGCATACTACGGGTGGGTGTTGCTATGGTGACCAATGAGCTAAGATAAGGCGGGGATTTTCCTAGCAGTGATTTATAGATGGCCTGGAGCCAGTGGGTTTGGCGACGAATATGTAGTGAGGACCAGCCAACAAGAGCGTACAGGTCACAGTGGTGGGTAGTATATGGGGCTTTGGAGACAAAACGGATGGCACTGTGATAGACTACATCCAATTTGCTGAGTAGAGTGTTGGAGGCTATTTTGTAAATGACATCGCCGAAGTCAAGGATCGGTAGGATAGTGTCTGCTTAAAGAAAATAATAAGCAAACACATTTGGTGTTCGCCAAAAGGCATGTGGGAGACTCCCCAAACATATGGAAGAAGGTACTCTGGTCAGATGAGACTAAAATTGAGCTTTTTTGGCCATCAAGGAAAACGCTATGTCTGGCGCAAACCCAACACCTCTCATCACCCCGAGAACACCATCCCCACAGTGAAGCATGGTGGTGGCAGCATCATGCTGTGGGGATGTTTTTCCATCGGTAGGGACTGGGAAACTGGTCAGAATTCAAGGAATGATGGATGGCGCTAAATACAGGGAAATTCTTGAGGGAAACCTGTTTCAGTCTTCCAGAGATTTGAGACTGGGACGGAGGTTCACCTTCCAGCAGAACAATGACCCTAAGCATACTGCTAAAGCAACACTTGAGTGGTTTAAGGGGAAACATTTAAATGTCTTGGAATGGCCTAGTCAATGGCCAGACCTCAATCCAATTGAGAATCTGTGGTATGACTTAAAGATTGCTGTACACCAACGGAACCCATCCAACTTGAAGGAGCTGGAGCAGTTTTGCCTTGACAAATGGGCAAAAATCCCAGTGGCTAGATGGGCCAAGCTTATAGTGACATACCCCAAGAGACTTGCAGCTGTAATTGCTGCAAAAGGTGGCTCTACAAAGCATTGACTTTGGGGGGGGGGGGTGAATAGTTATGCACGCTCAAGTTTTCTTTTTTTTGGTCTTATTTCTTGTTTGTTTCACAGGAAAAAAATATTTTGCATCTTCAAAGTGGTAGGCATGTTGTGTAAATCAGATGATACAAACCCCCAAAAAATCAATTTTAATTCCAGGTTGTAAGGCAACAAAATAGGAAAAATGCCAAGGGGGTGAATAGTTTCACAAGCCACTGTATGTATGTATATATGTATGTATATGTATATGTATGTGTGTATATGTTGCAAAGAAAAAGCCATATATCAGACTGGCCAATAAAAAAAAAAAGATTAAGATGGGCAGTCTGAGATATGGCTTTTTCTTTGCAACTCTGCCTAGAAGGTCAGCATCCCGGAGTCGCCTCTTCACTGTTGACGTTAAGACTGGTGTTTTGCGGGTACTATTTAATGAAGCTGCCAGTTGAGGACCTGTGAGGCGCCTGTTTCTCAAACTAGACACTCTAATGTATTTGTCCTCTTGCTCAGTTGTGCACCGGGGCCTCCAACTCCTCTTTCTGGTTAGAGCCAGTTTGCGCTGTTCTGTGAAGGGAGTAGTACACAGCGTTGTACGAGATCTTCAGTTTCTTGGCAATTTCTCGCATGGAATAGCCTTCAATTCTCAGAACAAGAATAGACTGACGCGTTTCAGAAGAAAGTTATTTGTTTCTGGCCATTTTGAGCCTGTAATCGAACCCACAATTGCTGATGCTCCAGATACTCAACTAGTCTCAAGAAGGCCAGTTTTTTTGCTTCTTTAATCAGCACAACAGTTTTCAGCTGTGCTAACATAATTGCAAAAGGGTTTTCTAATGATCAATTAGCCTTTTAAAATGATAAACTTGGATTAGCAAACAAAACGTGCCATTGGAACACAGGACTGATGGTTGCTGATAATGGGCCTCTGTACGCCTATGTGGATATTCCATAAAAAATCAGCCGTTTCTAGCAACAATAGCCGTTTACAACATTAACAATGTCTACACTGTATTTCTGATCAATTTGATGTTATTTTAATGGCCAATTTTTTTTCCCTTTCTTTCGAAAACAATGACATTTCTAAGTGACCCCACGTTTTTTAACGGTAGTATATATACAGTGGGGGGAAAAAGTATTTAGTCAGCCACCAATTGTGCAAGTTCTCCCACTTAAAAAGATGAGAGAGGCCTGTAATTTTCATCATAGGTACACGTCAACTATGACAGACAAAATGAGAAAAAAAATTCCAGAGAATCACATTGTA